GGCAGGCTCTCATCCACTATGTAGTCCTTTGTGATGGAGATTGTTGTGAAGATCTGAGACATCAAGTTCAGAGGAAATTCTCAGGCTGATCAGTTCAGATAAACTGGTTCAGAAACTGGAATTCTGTCCTCTGGTGTAGCAGACAACCGATGTGACGAGCTGAGACAAATATAACAAAACATTGTAGTTAATAAAGTGACAATTTAAGAACAAATGTTTTTCATAAACCTTTAATTTCTAATCTAAGAAAATGTTGGACTTTTTTATTGATAATAAAGATGATTATTATAAAACACATGACAATAATGATTACAGAGATTCATAAACTGCTGTAATATGGAAGTATTAAGTGCAGTTTTATATCCCAACTCTTCCTCAGAGGAAAGAATCTGTTGGTCATATTACAGCAGGAACTCAGTTACATTCATCTGTAATAAGTGTCTGCTTCAGCCTGTGCTGAGGTCAAAGGTCAATCATGCGTTATGAAGCCTCTGCGAATCTTCGGACCCATCGATGATTATTGTTTTTTGTCTTTTGCACAACTCATTTTTCATTCAAAGTGATTCTGATGAAAATATAAGTTTTTAAGTTTTGATTTGAATACATTTTTTTAGGAATTTAAACCCAAAGTAAAAAATCGAGACAACTCAAAAATATATAGAACCCAGGTCATAATTATAGTTAGAGCTTGACCTAAGAGGCTTTTTAAGAATGTCATTTGGCATCATCTAAGAATTTTAAGCACTGGTTTGATAATGTTCAAACTAGGGGTGAGAAATGTATCTAATTAATCAAATGTTTTTAATTAGTCTTGACTAATTGCATTTTAATCATTCAAGACAATTTGCCCCATGCAATGTTTTAAATAAAAATTATTTTAGCGAGGCACAGATGCCGTACCCTTACTTTAATGAGAACATTTCTGTAACTGCAAGCTCTGTTTGATTACTTTGGTCTCATTTTAAAGGTAACCATTGTCAGATTTATTGGGATGTGTAAATATTAGTATATGTGTTGTTGATGAAGTGCAAATGGACATGGAACATTGTAAATGTTCTGAACTGAACACTAGGTGGCAGGAGAGCACTGCTAAAGAGAGGTGTAGTGTAGAGTTCAGGGGAAGTTCTGCTAAGAGTTAAAAGATGAATGCGGTGTGTGTGCTTGTTCCCCCTGCTGTGATAAACTTCATATGAATAAAGTTTCTACCTACTACCAAACACAACAGTAAAAAAGTAGATTTTTTTTCTTTCTTTCTTTTCTTCATGAAGAGCGATTTGTCATAATTAATTTAATTGTAGTTTTAGTTGTGTTTGGAGCATGTAAAAAAAAGAAGCTTATATGTGTCATGATCCGCTCCGGCCTCCCTGACTGTGTCTCTCCTGCCCTGATTAGCCTTATTGTTCTCACCTGTCCCTGATTACTCTGCCCATGTGTTCCTGATTCCCTTGTGTATTTATACCTCCCTCCTTGTTGCTGTCTTTGTCGGTTCATTGTCGTTTGTGCATGTTCATTCGTCCTGTCGCTCCCAGTCTACAAATAAACGTCTTTTTATTTTTTCATCCGTCTGCCTGATCTTCTGCCTCCTGGAACCCACCACCACACATGGTCTGCCACCTCCACTCGCAGAACATGACAGAATGAACCGACCAAACCTGGACCTGTGGTGAGCTAACACCTGCTTCTGGAGGATTATTTTTTCTTTTTTTCCCTTTCAGCAGAGGGTGATTTCTGGCCTGGAGTTTTGTGTTCGGCGCATCCTACCTGTTCTCAGGGTGGTCGAAGTCCTCTGGGAGATCCTGGCGCATCCTACTTTGTCTTCGGGGTGGTCAGGGTCATTCACCTCCTGCCGTTTTTGCCCCGTCACGTTCTTCTCCTGAAGTCGCGGATCCTGGAGCCTCAAGGGAGTTGCGCTCCCTACGCACGCCATTATTCTCTGGTGTGGTAGGGCTGGTCTCCCCGCTCTTCTCCGGCGGATCCTGGAGCCTCAAGGGAGTTACACCCCCTACGCACGTCATTGTTCTCCGGTGTAGTAGGGCTGGTCTCCCCGCTCTTCTCCGGCTTCCCTTCACCCGAGCCTCCGCCGATGGTCCCAGCAGATCAGGATGTGCACCTGCTCTGATTGGATGTCGAGTACCTGCCGCCGAGCTGGGCTTCCGCACGTCGCTCTCGCTGCTCAGCCATTTCCTGGTCCACGCCTGCAGGTTCTGTGCCTGCAGGTTCTCCACGCGGCAGTTCCTGCTGGGTCCCACGCCTGCTGCTGCAGTTTGTCTCAGTGTTCCTGGTGTCCAGTGGTCAAGTCAAGTCTTCGTGAGTCAAGTCAAGTCTTCGTGAGTCAAGTCTTCGTGAGTCAAGTCAAGTGTTCGAGTCCAAGTCAAGTGTTCGAGTCCAAGTCAAGTGTTCGTGTCTCAAGTCCAGTCAAGTCTTCGTGAGTCAAGTCAAGTCTTCATGAGTCAAGTCAAGTGTTTGTGTCTCAAGTCAAATCAAGTGTTCGTGTCTCAAGTCAAGTCAAGTGTTCGTGTCTCAAGTCAAGTCTTCGTGAGTCAAGTCAAGTCTTCGTGAGTCAAGTCAAGTGTTCGTGTCTCAAGTCAAGTCAAGTGTTCGTGTCTCAAGTCAAGTCTTCGTGAGTCAAGTCTTCGTGTCAAGTCAAGTCAAGTCTTCGTGTCAAGTCAAGTCTTCGTGTCCCAGTCAAGTGTTCGAGTCCCAGTCAAATGTTCGAGTCCCAGTCAAGTGTTCGAGTCCCAGTCAAGTGTTCGAGTCCCAGTCAAGTGTTCGAGTCCCAGTCAAGTGTTCGAGTCCCTGTGCCAAGTCTTTGAGTCCCTGTGCCAAGTCTTTGAGTCCCTGTGCCTTCCAGTCCGAGTTTCCCAGTCTGAGCTCAAGAGACCCTTTGTAAGACGGAGTGCCGCCTGATCTGAGAGGCCCCTGCTCCGCGTCCCTGGTCTGAGTTCGTGGAAACGTCTGTTGGTCGTAAGACGGAGTGCCGCCTGATCTTAGAGGCCCCTGCTCCGCAGCCGTGGACTGTGTTTGTTCCCTGGTCTCGTCTTCTGTGTTCCCTGGTCATGTGTGCCCTGGTCTGGTCATCGTTCGTCCCTGTGTCTCCTGTGCTCTGTGGCTTGTGGGCGTCTGGTATCCGCCCCTTAGGGGGGGGGGGGGGGTACTGTCATGATCCACCCCGGCCTCCCTGACTGTGTCTCTCCTGCCCTTATTAGCCTAATTGTTCTCACCTGTCCCTGATTACTCTGCCCATGTGTTCCTGATTCCCTTGTGTATTTATACCTCCCTCCTTGTTGCTGTCTTTGTCGGTTCATTGTCGTTTGTGCATGTTCGTTCGTCCTGTCACTCCCAGTCTACAAATAAATGTCTTTATTTTTTCATCCGTCTGACTGATCTTCTGCCTCCTGGAACCCACCACCACACATGGTCTGCCACCTCCACCCGCAGAACATGACAATATGGTCTTGGAGCCCAGGCTCTGTTGCGTTTTTTTTTTTAGATGTGCAGCTTGTTGATATATATTGACATTTAGGGCATGCATTTTGATTCTAAACTTTTTCTTCCACTAATTGGGGGACGCTTGGGCTCAAATTATAACTTTTTAAACGTGTCGTTTTTTTCTAATAAATTATAATTTAAATGTTAAATTCCCACCCCTAGTTCAAATATAACATCTTGTCCTGTTTGAAAAAGTAACTGTTAACAAAAAAAAGTATCTTAGTACATTATTTTATTGTTTCCATTTCGAGTGTAAGTTGGCTGTTAAAACCTTTGATTTGGTTTTGATACGTCCCATTTCAACAGTGATCAGAAGTTTGTCTAATGCCAACCTTGTGTCATCTTTTTTGTATCACCACTCTGATTATGGGCTACTATTAGACTGGAGAAGAGAGGCAGATTTACAGATATTATAAAACACCAAGAAAAAAACTACAGCTCGAGATAACTTGTTACTGCCGACACTTCAGGATCAAACCAATCTCCGTCAGAACCCACAGGCGTTCCAGGTCGTAGCTGACATGTTTGACAGGCAGACAAATTGGAAGCTGAGCCCAATTCATACCCTGTGGAAGATATTCAGTGATGCCAGTTCTGTAGAAAGAAAGTGAGGAGACTTGATTACTTGGAATCACCTGAATCAGGAAGTAGAGGTCAGCTGGAGGAGAACATAGTTGCAATTGAAAGTTTCTACTAGTCAAGACTAAGATGTTCTTTGCTGTTTCCTGGATTCTAAAACAACAGCAACCTTAGAAAGCACGCCTGTCCAAACGTCTTTGGTTTTCCGTGACTTCAAAAGGTGTTTTTCTTTTCGGGACTCTGGTAGTTTTGTCCTAAAGTTGAAGTAACAGCCGGCTATTTCTCCTTCTCTGACATTATTGAGCTGAGAACCTCCCTTGGGATGTGTTTGAGGTTCAGTTGGAGGTGGGAGCTGTCAAGAGACTCCGCCAGACGTTCTTCTCTCCCAGCACTGAAGTCAACTCAGCACCAGGTAGTGAGTTGACAGCTCCGTCCCTCTCTTCATCTGAGTGTCCAAGACATGCGGCCGCAGATCAGATGAGACAACAACAAAGTTGATCATTGAGCTATTGCATAAGGTATGCTGGTGCCAAGTAGCCTAGTGAACTAGACCAAATTATTGCTTTGCAAAGTTTGGTCTAGGCATGCTCCATTGGAACCTCAGCAGCTCCTACCAGGACTCTGGCTGGCCAATCACAGCTCGCTAGAGGGGTTTCAAACACATAAAGAGCTGTGATTGGTCCATAATGGTGGGCCAATCATAGTGCTCTATCTGCTTAGTTTAACAAATCACAGAGCTTTATCCGCTTTGTGGGCCAATCAGGGCACTCTATATGCCTGGTGGGTGGGATGATGCAACAGAGTGAAACAAGAGTATGTCACATTCATTGTCCAGTGGAATGCGGAGATCATTTGAAAGACAACGGTAGAACCCGCCCCACAACCGAGAGCCGTCAATGGAGCATGGCCAGACTAAAGACTGGCTTGCCAGGCTAGGTGCCAAGAGCACATCTGGACAACTTTTGGACTCAGATCGGGGTGGCATTCCTACACCTATCCAGGTCTCATGTTAGCATTGAAGTCCCTCAGGAGAACGAGGGAACTACAAGAAGTAACACTCTCCAGTACCTCCTCCAAGGACTCCCAAAGGGTAGGTAATCTGACCTGCTGTTTGGTGCCTAAACCAAACCATCGAGTCTATAAAGCAATCCAAAGAATAATTTCGAGAAACCCTCCTAGCTGACATCTGACAAAAAAAAAGTCCACCACTCCGCAACGTGCTCTTAATCTTCCTAATTTATGGGAGGCTCCAAAGGTTTACAACTAATTACAAATGTTACCACAGATATAAATTATTTACCGATTTGAACTACAAGCTAACTTATATTCTTACTGCCTTAAATAAGAATTGTTAAAATTAAGGATTTACAGAAATTCAATGAAAACTGCCACAACTGTTTGCTTTCTTTCTTTAGTTCAAATTACTTCCTATTCAGTTCCTAGATAAGGACAAAGTGAGCTGACACAACGCTTTTTCAGATTAGAGTTACCTTTGGAAGACTTGACCAACTGCATTGACCACAAAGACACTCCCATCAGTCCCAACTTCAACCATTTTTGCAGCTCCTGGCACTAGTGTCCAACTAGTCTTACCACAGGTAGATGGATTAACTATCTGTTAACAAATGAAAACATGATTAGCGGTCAAAATCAGTGATGAGAGAATAACTGTCTGGAAGTAAAAGATAGAGGAGCTTACAGAAACATAGATGTTATCAGCGGAGTTCACTCCCCAGCATCCATTTGGTCCACAGCTGAAATACTTCAATGCCCCATCAAAGCCTGTCCAGTCCACTGAACCAGTTTGTGAATAAGCTGAGGTGATGCTAGTTTTCAGGCAGTAGATGTTGTTTCCACTGTTCACTCCCACTATCTGTTTATTACCTCCAGCATCCACCTGCTGTAATAAACCTGGAGAGAAAAACAGAAAAAAATCCACAAGCATTTAAACATTTGGCTGTATGCAGCCTAACTTGTAATATTTGTAAATAAAACTACCCACCATGAACAGAAACAAAGTCTCCTCCTACAAACTTGTAGATCTTGTTTGAGGAGTCGACTCCCCAGATTCCTGCAGGTCCAACTGTGACGTGTTTAAGAGGAACAGAGCCCAGTTTGGACCAAGCTGATCCACTCAGGAAGAACACGTTTGATGAGCTGTCTGTCAGCACCACTTGTCCTTGTCCAGCATCAATCTGTGCAGCAGAAGGCTGTTGTGGGGGGGCTGTGCAGGTCCATCCTGAAAAGGTGAAAACTAAGTCTAGTGGCAGCTCATTCATAGAAGGCGCTAAGGCACTGTTACAGACGCTGCCTGTTCAGGCCACTATATGGCCCCAGCTGCAGCCCCGCCTGCTCCCTCTCCAGCAAAGGGAGCACCAGGAGATGCTTCAGGGGGGAGAAACCAGAAGAGTGTGGGCACGGAAGTGTTCTCACTCTTCTCTCCCGTTCGTGTGTTGATTTTATAGTCTCAGCTTCTGATAACCTGAGTGGTTTTGAGTGCTACTAGTAGAATCCTTTTGTTTGCATTAGAGACAACAATATTGTAGATAAGTAGTAGAAGAAGAAGAAAATATCATTTCAATAGCGCCTCTCAAGATAGAAATCACGAGGCAATTTACAAAAACAAAAATGTAAAAATATAAAAAAGAATTTAGAAAATAGTTAAAAATATATTTAAAATGAGCAAAAAATCGGCAATTGTAATTTAAGAAATGTTAAGAAAGAGAGAGAGTGAATAGGAAAGAGGAAAATCATTGGATCCTGAGGAAGGTGGAATAGGTGGGGAGAGCAGAATAAAGAGAGAGTGGTGAAGAAGGTCATACAAAAGCCAGCTTGAACAAGTGAGTCTTCAGCTGCTTTTTGAAGGAGACCACTGAGTCCACTGATCTCAGGCTCAGGGGGAGAGAGTTCCAGAGTCTGGGGGTCACAGCAGCAAATGATCTGTCACCTTTGGTCTTTAGCCTGGTGCGCTGCACAACCAGTAGGCTTTGATCACTGGACCTCAGGGACCTGCTGGGGGTGTAGGGACTAAGAAGATCACCAATGTAAGATGGTGCTTGTCCATGTAAGGCCCTATAGACCAGAACCAGGATCTTGAAATGAACCCTGAAGTTGACTGGCAGTCAGTGAAGCTGGAGGAAAAGCGGGGTGATGTGGGTGTGTTTGGAGGACTTGGTCAGAAGCCGAGCACAGGCATTCTGAACCACCTGTAGACGGTTCAGGGAGGTTCTGCTCAGACACGTGAAAAGAGTATTACAGTAGTCTAAGCGTGAGGAGATGAAGGTGTGGAGAACTGTCTCAAGTTCAGAGCAGGACAGAATGGGACTCAGCTTAGCAATGTTCCTGAGATGGAAGAAGGAAGAGCGAACAAGAGAACTGACATGAGAATCCAGGGTGAGAGCTGGGTCAAAGGTCACGCCAAGATTCCTGACAGAAGGTTTGGTGTGAGAAGCAAGCTGACCAAGAGAGTCTCTGACTTTGGGAACCAGCTTGTCTGGGGCACAGATGAGGATCTCAGTCTTATCTTCATTCAGCTGTAGAAAGCTCCCAGCCATCCAGGTTTTGATAGAGTCTAAGCAGATGTGTAACAGCTGCAGCTTAGACATCTCATGGGGCTTGAAGGGCATGTACCGTTGGATGTCATCGGCATAAAGACGGTAGGAGATTCCTTTGAAGGAGCTCAGGATGTGCTGAAGAGGGAGCAGATAGAGGAGGAAGAGCAGAGGCCCCAGCACAGAACCTTGTGGGACACCATGGGTAAGGGAGGTGGTGGAGGACTGACACTTGGAGACGGCCACTGAGAAAGCACTCTCAGACAGCTAAGAGGAGAACCACTCAAGAGCAGATCCTGATAGGCCTACCCAGTCTCTCAGCCTCTCCAGTAGCAGTTGATGGTCAACAGTGTCAAAGGCTGCAGTCAGGTCCTGCAGGACCAGAACAGAACAGTCCCCTGCATCACTGCGAGTCAGAAGGTCATTAGAAACCCTAAGAAGAGCTGTTTCAGTAGAATGAGCTCTACGAAAACCTGACTGGAAGCTATCATAGATGTTATGTTCATCAAGAGCAGCTGTGAGTTGTCTAGCCACAACCTTTTCCAAGATCTTGGAGATGAACGGAAGTTTAGAGATGGGTCTGAAGCTGCTATGGAGAGAGGGGTCGAGACTCGGTTTTTTAAGAAGCGGGTGGATTACAGCGTTCTTAAAGTAAGCAGGGACCTGACCAGAAACCAGAGAAGCATTAATTATAGAGAGCACGCTGGGACAGATGGACTGAAAAGCACTTTTAAACAAAGATGAGGGTAAGATGTCGAGGGGGCATGCAGAGGGCTTCATAGAGTGAACTAGTTTGGTTAACTCAGGCAAAGAAACAGGAGCAAAGCTATCTACGATGATGGGCCTGGTTGGAGCCGGGAGAGGCAGCGATAAGGCTGAAGGAGAGATGCTAGATCTAACCTTATTGACTTTGTCCACAAAGAAAGACAGAAAGTTCTCACAGTCTGTAACAGAGTTGCAGAGTGACTTTGCTGAGGTAGATTTTGTGTTAAATCGTATTCCTTAGGAGAGACTCTGCTCACCCTTTTGGTTGGAGCTTTGGTAGTACGCCTTCTGATTCATCCCAGTCCTAAGAGCTGGCACTTTTTGTTATTAGAGATCCTTTGTTCATTATTCCAGTTATTTAGGATGGTCATTATTCTCTCTCCCTACTCCTAGGACGAGAGCTACGCTCATTCAATAAACTCCCCTTATAAGAGTATCAAACTTTGTTCTTCTCATTCACACGCATTAATTTAATTACTCCCTCATATCCATCATACTCCTAGTGAGCTGAGGGACGTAATAGGCACCATCCTCACACACACATTCACACGCTGGTGGGGATGAGCAACAGCTGCCCTGGGTCTCACTGACAGAGGCGAGGCCTGCCGAGCATTGGTACCACCGGTCCCTCCGACCACCACCAACAGGCAAGGCCAGTTAAGTGTCTTGCTTAAGGACACAATGGCAGCATTCTCTATTAACCCATCATTTCCACCAGCTTCCAGCAGCTTTCATTACACAGTGAATTTCCTCCACCAAACTCACTAGTTTCACTCCTAGGGTGCTGGGAAAGTCTCCCGAGCGACTATGTGCCAGAGATTTAAAGCAAGAGGCTATCAGCAAGGAACCATTAACAGAGCATATAATAAAGCAAAAGATCTCCCTAGAGACCAATAACTAACCTCTAAAGAAAAAGATCAACCAATTTCTACTCAACTATTCTTTGTAACACATTAGCGCGACCAGGCTTACAAAATTAGACGAATTATTGAAAGACATTGGGAAATGTTGAGAAGTGCTAGTGTTCTTAGAGAAGCCCTTCCAGCTGCTCCATCCATTAGCTTCCGATGAGCTCCAACTTTAAATGATAAACTTGTCAAAAGTCATCTCAATCCTCAACCAAAGACCTGGCTATCTACCAGAAAAGGAAATCGTAAAAGTGGACATTGTTATCACTGCAATAATACGACCAATGCTAACTGCTTTACTGTCATCTTTTCTGGACGTAGGTTTTACATCAATTCATTCATCACTTGTAACACATCATTTGTTGTGTACAGACTTGAATGTCCATGTGGCTGTTTCTACGTAGGGAGAACAAGCGCAAACTTAAGACAAGACTGGCTGAACACAAATATGCAGTTAGAGCTGGTAATCCTCTATACCCCATAGCAGTACATCACACAGAAATACATCATGGAAGCTGTGACTCTTAAAATTTCAGGTATTGAGCAAATCAAAGACAGTTAGAGGAGGAGACAGACTTAAGAAGCTCCTTCAAAGAGAATACTTTTAAAAGCCACATGCCATCCAGGTTTGAATGGTGAAACAGATTTTCAGTGGTTATTTTTCTACAGTTTAAAATACTTCTTACTTTGTACTGATCACTATGTTTACACTTAGATGTTCATGTTTTTATTTTAATTATCCAGAAAGACCAATCATGTGACTTCCTGTCAGCTCAACAAAACAGCTGAAACTGATTATTCTAGTAAGCAGACAAACAAACATTTCTTGTCCTGATGAAGGCCAGCGTGGCTGAAACTAGTAGACATGTTTTTATTTGATTCGCCATGGAATATTAAGGGCTTTCTATTTTCATCCTCCTGCACGCCTCAGATCCTTTTCTTTTGTTTTTTGTAATGATTGTACCCCTTAACTGAAGAGCACCAGAGGTACTCACAACTGCTTCACACCCTAGAAGCACTCCATGCAGTTTTGATGTTTTTTACAAAATATTTTATGTAGTGAAAACTTACCACGACAGTTAGACAGGTAAATCAGCACAAGCAAGAAGGTTGCAACAGCTTCCATGGTGACGTTGGCTCTTTTCCGTGTAAAAACTAAGAGATCAACCTCATGCAGCAGGGGTTATTTAATTCAGCCAGTACACAGCAACACAGTTCATCTGGACAGTATCTCCCAAAAAACAAAAAACAACAGGGATAGACCTGGGGAAGCTTTAGTAACCAACACTTTTAACAGTGTAACGCATACACACACATTGAAGCAGAAAACTCTGTTGACTACTTCAGTTGTTGGTTTGTACCCTTGTAACCTGCTGGCTGATATATTGATTTAACTCAGGCTGTTCTGTGGCTTTACATTGAACATCTGGACCCACTTTATTTATACTAGTAAACGCTGAAAGATAATAGTTGTCTTATCAGCACAGCTCCTCTCTCATCTGCACGTACACCAGGCAGTGTTGCTGCAACGAGTGAATTCCCCACTGTGGCATCAGTAAAGTCTATTCGATTCTATTCTATAATGTTTGCTATGGAGATTTCTGTAAAATTTCTGTAGTAAGTTAGTAAATAAGTAAATTTTATTTATATAGCACTTATCACAGACATCGACATATAAATATTGTACAATGGGTTTCCATAGGCTCCAATAACACGTTTTTGAGGCTAAATGGGAGGTGGCCACCACCGCCATTTTGACCGTGTCACAGGTTCCGTCAAGCCCAGACAATTCCATAAAAGGGAAGAGAGGTGGAGCTGAGGGCGGGTCTGTAAGGCTGGGATCAACTGACGACACCCGGTCGAACTAGCTACAAGCTAACCTGAAGCTAACCCAAAGCTAACGCGGAGGTGGGAGCTAAGCTAATGGAGGTAGCAACCTAGCTACAACTGGAGTTAACTGTGCACAACACCAGAGCTTCTGAGTCAGAGATACGCCGGGCTGACCGCTGGGTAAAACTGGTTGGAACACAAAGGTCTCCCGAGAGCTCCACAAGCCAACAGCTGCGCAGCAGACAAGCGCCGCTGCGATCTGAGATGCGCAGAGCTGCCGCTGGGGAGAACCGGGTGGAAAAGTTTCCATCCCAGAGCTCCACAAGCCGGCAGCCCGCGCAGCAAACAGAAGCCGCAATCAGACAGAGATGCGCCGAGCTGTGGGGAGGGGAGAACCGGGTGGAAAACATTAGTCTCCCGAGAGCTCCACAAGCTGATAGTCGGAACCCAGCTCCACGACATGTTATATTTCAACCCATTTTCTAAAGTGCAGCATTATGTTAAATGCACTGGGTTTTACCCTATTACATTTAAATTTAATGGTTAAACAGTACATGTTAAAATCTAAGCTCAGCAGTATCCTTTAGGTCTCCTCCCAGCTGGACATGCTCAGAAAACCTCACCAGGAAGGCATCCAGGAAGCATCCTAACTAGATCCCCGAGCCACCTCACCTGGCTCCTCTCGATGTGGAGGAGCAGCGGATCTACTCTGAGCCCCTCCCAAATGGCCGAGCTTCTCAACCATTGCATTTTTGGTTCTTTTTTTAAACACAGAAAGGGTTTCTTTTTTACCTTGCTGACAGTTTCGTTTGCTGGCTGTAAACTTCTCACCCTATCTCTAAAGGAGAGTCCAGTCACCCTTTGGAGAAAACTCATTTTGGCCACTTGTACAATTTGCTTCATTCGGTCACTGCCCAGAGCTTGTGACCAGGGTAGGAACGTAGATAAACCAGTAAATCGAGAGCTTTGCCTTCCGGCTCAGCTCTTTCTTTACCACCACAGACCAGTACAATGCCCGCATCACTGCAGACACAGCACCAGACTGCCTGCCGATCTCCCGCTCCGTCATTTGCTCACTTGTGAACCAGAGATACTTTAACTAATCTACTTGAGGCATGACTTCGTTCCTGACCTGAAGAAAACATTGTACCCTTTTCTGACTCAAGACCTTGCCTCTGTCAGTGCTCCCCAGGGCAGCTGGGCTTCATTGTAGCTCATCACCATCAGTGCGTGAATGGATGAATGATATGCTGTGTAAAGCCCTCTGTCTGACTCTGACTCTGAAAGACGCTATACAAGTGCAGGCCATTTATCATTATCATCTTGATTTTATTTAGATATCCTGTTCATCAAGGTTTTGAACAAAATCAGTGACAAAGGGCAGCCTTGGTGGAGTCCAATGAGCCCGACTTACTGTTGGTAATGCAGACAAAGCTCTGACACCAATCATACAGGGAGCTAACAGCCCGCATCCAGAAGCCTGGTACCTCACACTCACTGAGTACCCTTACAGTGGACATTTCTCTTCCATGAAAGCTGGTATCCAGCATGTTTTAGTTGTTTCCATACTCCAACACCAGTTCAGAAGCTGATGAAGCTCGACAGAAGCCTGTGTTGAAACGGGGTACTGGCCCTTGGGGAAGGGATTTCTCTACACCTGCCCTATAGAGAAACAATGTTTTTTCCACAAAACACATGTTGCTCAATCTCTCACACACCCTCCAGGACCCTGCTGAGGGTGTAGAGCTGGTCTGGTGTTCCACGGCCAGGATGAAAACCGCATTGTTCCTGATGAATGATGGTTTAGAACCAACACAACACGTTCAAAGTCAAGGTAAAGACACAAACTACATTTTTGAGTCTGCTAAAGGGACATTGAGTTTTTACCTCAGGGCTCTGCTGACCAATCAGAACTGATAACTTAAAGAGCAAGTCACCCCCTACAAGAAGCGTACTTCACTCCCACTTCATGTTTGAAAAATGCAACAAATGCTGTTGCCTAGCAGACCGAGAGGGTGGAGCCACTAACAAATACACACACACTCAGGCTCACGACAGCATTGTGACATCATAATGTACCAGTTTACATCATAGCATACCTCTTAGCCAATAGCGGTGGCAGATTTAAACTCAAATACAGTGCAGAGTTTTTACCTGACAATGGCCTAACACTGACAGTTTTAGGCAGAATATTTAAATTTTAACTAAGATGCACTGAAGTACCAAATTATTGACGACACGTGTCTGCAGCACAATTAGACACACATTTATATAGTTTATCAGCAAAATAAAGTTGATTTGGGGGTGACTTGCTCTTTAAAGAGCAAGTCAACCCCTACCAGAGTCTAACTCCACTCCCACTTCATGTTTGAAAAATGCAACAAATGCTGTTGCCTGGCAGACCGAGAGGGCGGAGCCGCTAACAAATACACACACTCAGGCTCACGACAGCATTGTGACATCATAATGTACCAGTTTACATCATAGCATACTTCTTAGCCAATAGCGGTGGCAGATTTAATTTAAAATACAGTGCAGAGTTTTTACCTGACAACGGCACAACACTGCCAGTTTTAGGCAGAATATTTAAATTTTAACTAAGATGCACTGAAGTGCCAAATTATTGATGACACGTGTATGCAGCACGATTAGACACTCGTTTATTTAGTTTATCAGCAAAAAAAAGTTTATTTGGGGGTAACAAGTCAAAGCAGCTGGAGGGGAGTCAAATTTGGCTGCTGTAGCTGAAACATCTGAGGCTGTTCCCATGACAACCTGATACAAAACAAGTCACAACATGCCGGTTTGGCACAATAGCACGACCCCAGCACATAGAAACACTTAGAAATTAAAACACAACACATACCTATCTCAATTATTTTTTTCTACTTTTATTAAGAAAGAAATTAACATAAACAATTTTATAGCCTGGGTGTTGCAGCTTCGGGCTGCATGCAACTGATAGCACTGTTGCTGTTGTGGTTGTCTTTAAGACTCTGTTGGGTTATTCTAAGTTTCAGCCCTGAATCTTGTGTGTGTGTGTGTGTGTGTGTGTGTGTGTGTGTGTGTGTGTGTGTGTGTGTGTGTGTGTGTGTGTGTGTGTGTGTGTGTGTGTGTGTGTGTGTGTGTGTGTGTGTGTGTGTGTGTGTGTGTGTGTGTGTGTGTGTGTGTGTGTGTGTGTGTGTGTGTGTGTGTGTGTGGGCTATGGTTGTGAGAAAACATGAAAGTGCACAGATATGGAGTGTGAACTGTGAGGATGGAGCTTGATCTTATTTGTCTGGTTTACATTGATCAAGTTGGATAAAACAAATTGGCATATTGCTTTTTGTGCAAACAAAATTATATAAAGAAAATCTTGATTTTGAGCTCTCCTGCTGATTGTGTCATCATCATGTGCACATGCTGTCACTACCTCCTGGTTACTTGAATTTATTTGCATAATTTGCACATTCACATCCTGCAAAGTTTATATTACTGCATATTGTTTATATTTGTATTTTTTATATATATTTTTGTAAATGTTTATCCTGAGTACCGGTATGTCTATTTTATCTTATGCTCAAATGTATATACTTTGACATTCAGTACTGACAGCAAAGTGAGAATGCCATTGTGCAAGGAAATATGTTTCTTTACTGTGCATATGACAACAAAGCTTTGATTTGATTTCAATATAAATTGGATTGATACAAGTTAATATAAATTTTCTATCATTCTGACAGTTTGCATCCTTTTGCATTGGCTCTGATTTGTGTGGATTTGGGGGTCTGGTTTTGTTTGTGCTGCTCAAATTATGCAAACTCTTGGGGGTGGTCACTGGACAGTTTGCATGCAGGGCGGGAACCGTCTGCAGAAACCGAGATCTCGCTCCCACAGCAACTTTTCGCGCTACGATGCAGGTACTGATAGCGCCACTCAAGTCAACTACCATCTGGTTGTATTGTTATCCATCTGTCCGTCTTTCAGCTGCAAAGCTAATTATAGTCAACTCGGAAACAAAAGCATCTGCGATTTAAATCTGAGTTCTAATAAACTTGTAAAAAAAATAAACCTCCCAGCTGAAAACAAAGATATTTTATTGCACTGATGACTCCATGAAACTCAATCGTTGAAACGACTTCATGGGCTGACCTTTTGTGATTTTCTCGTTAGTCTTGCATACATACTGTGTTAATTTTGTTGATAAAGTTTGGATTTTATTTTAGATAGAGACATTATCTTCGAAGGGTGAGTCACGTTCATCTTTTTTTGTCACAGCGTTGATCTTCCGGAAACAGCAGAGGAGTGAGACCTCGTGTTTCAACCTCCTCTCACTCTCAAAGCGCGCCAGCTGCCCCGCCAGTGCTGCTTGAGGGCGTGGTCATCCGCCCATCCTTGTGGCAGAAACTTGGAGCACAGTGCTGATTGGCTATAATTGTGTGACGAAACCAATGACCAGCGTTTTGATTGGCTGTGGGAATCCAGCTGCGGTAGAGCGCCAGAAAACAAGCTTGAGCGGGTGATGCTGAAGTCACTCTGGAACAGATAGTCCGCTAACTTCTGACTGACACTTGAGTACTCATCTAAACTGGCAAAATCTACCCGCTAATTTTGAAGAGGGAAACAAGCTGCTATGTTGGACTGAAGAAAGTACGGACTGACAAAAAATCTGAACATCGACCCACATCGGGATATCTCATTCATTCAACAGCTCTTAAAGGTTAATATTGTTTTTTTTCTCCAATAGTTTCCAGCTATTATTAACACTGAGTCATGGTATGCAGGTGAGCTGAGCTTATCTTTAGCTAAACCACTTATTAAAACCTAATAAGCCTTAATATGACTATTAGTAGTACTTGATGTTGTATTATTCCATCAGGAGCTTGTGTACTGCTAGCTAAAAGTGTTATTTTAGACTAGCTTAAATATGTCTTTACAGGTTAATCACTTCAACAGAGAGACTTGCTAAATGCTTGATTTGTTGTTACATTGTAATTACCAACGCGTCACATTAGAAATAGCAGCTCAACAGAAAGAGTTGACGTGACGCAGCTACAACGTTTATGCAGCAGTTAGCTCGCTAAATGCTAGTTAGCTGATGTTCTTTGCGCCAAATTGACCTGCGTGACCACCGTTTTATCCTACAACAATCAGCTCTAGTGTCTGAGGGGTGATGTTATCCTGAAGCTCTTGGTGTTTTTGCTCTGGGTGGCAGGTTTCCCAAATGGAAGATGTTGAATGTCTGGCGCTGAAAGACCTCACAAGTCCGAGGAAAAGTTTCTCAGTGGAGCCCGATGGAGCCAGGGGCCAGAATGAACACAAAGTAGGTTAAGATGCTAGTGTGTGTGTGTGTGTGTGTGTGTGTGTGTGTGTGTGTGTGAGCACCATCAGAAACATGATGGAAGATGTTTTTGTGACCTTTGACCTGCTGATGATGGCTCCAACAGCCTCAGTTTGGAGAAATTGAGATTAGTTTGACCACACATGAGCTCACAGCGGTTGACGCAGCCCAACAAGTCAAATAGTCGCTGTTTAGGCTAGTGTAGCTTTATCATATATGTGACCTGCTGTTATAGGATACGATATTTGTTTTGTAATTCTAACCACGGAGCTGTTTCCATCTCAGGAAAATCTGAGCACAGATGGAAAAAGATCAAGCCCGCTGAAGTCTGCAGATTCCACTGTTCCTGTTTTGCTGCCAAATAGGAAGGGCTCCGGTTCTGACCCGACCCACATAACTCCCATCAAACGTACTGTCCTGGCCGAGCCATGGACACCCACGGCCAATCTGAAGGTGTTGATCAGCGCGGCTAGCCCAGACATCCGAGACAGGGAAATGAAGAAGGTGCTTTTCAGACCGATAGAGAATGATAAAGACAAGCTGGCAGCGAGTCCGGACACTTTGGTGGAGGAGATAGAGGTGGAGGACTCCTCTCAGGTATGGGAACTTGGAAGGTGCATTACAGACATTTTCTTTCTTTTAGAAACTTTTATTCTTCCTTAAACATTTAAGAGTTGTTAGATGGCCATTACAGGTTTGGATTTCAGTTTTTTTTTTATTAATTTTTATATTCTGAACATCTTTCTTTCCCTTCTCAGTCTGAAGTAGCATTCGAAGAGGACGATGCAGAGAAGAAGCCGAGCAGGAAGCAGAAGAGTCTGGGTTTGCTTTGCCAGAAGTTCCTGGCTCTCTACCCGGACTACCCCCCAGCTCACAGCCCCATCTGGATCTCACTGGACGAGGTGTCCACCAGTCTGGGTTAGAACCCGGCCCTAAGCCTTTGTTTCTCTGTTATTCATAACCGGCCAAAAATATTGAGATCACTTCTTATATGTCTGGTTCTCATTTTGTCAGGAGTCGAGCGGCGGCGCATCTATGACATCGTCAACGTGCTGGAGTCGCTGACGATTGTCGGCCGGATCGCTAAGAACAGCTACATCTGGTACGGCCGTCAACGGCTGCCGGCCACGCTGCAGGAGCTGCAGCGGAGGGGTCGGGAGCAGGGATACCACCTCCAGATGGATCTGAACACGGGGGCCAGGACATCTGGGCGTGTCCGAGAAGATGATGGAGACGCGGGTAGCGGTAAAAAAATGTCCCGTTTGTGGTCGTTGTTGAACCCGAGGTGCAGGTGTAGAACCCAGAGGGTGGACAGGTGAACTCAAAAATAGTTTAACAAGTAACCAAGGGCAAAAGCAGGACTAACGGGGTAAACGACTCAAGGACCTGGCTAGTCAGGGACCTACTTTAATGTGGAACAGGTCAGCGTAACTAACTGGAGCTGGAGGGAAAATATGCAGTCATGCATTATTTATTATTACACACAAAAGCTGGTCCCTTCACACATGACTGTGGCTTTAAGAATAGATGCAGCCCAACACCAAGAAGTGTTTAAACCGATGTGGATAAGTCCTCCTGGAGGGGCAGGGTTCTGTTATTATACTGAATTGTGTTTGTACTTGTGTTGCAGCTGGATGCAATAGGAAGGATAAATCTCTGCGCATCATGAGCCAGAAGTTTGTCATGCTTTTCCTGGTGTCCAAAACCCAAACCGTCACCCTGGACGCAGCGGCCAACGTTCTCATCAAGGAGAGTCAGGACTCCTCCAGCCACAGCAAGTACAAAAGTAAGAATCCCAGCAGAACCACGTCGCGAACAAGCGCTCCACAGGCAGCTCACGTTATATATTTGTGTTGTTTCTGTGTGTCCAGCTAAAGTACGGCGTCTGTATGACATCGCTAATGTGTTGACCAGTTTGGGTCTCATCAGGAAGGAGAAGGGCAGGAAGCCAGCCTTTAAGTGGCTCGGCCCGGTAGAGTTCAGCAGCTCTGGTGAGGAGAAGGTTGATTGTGTCTCTAAACCATCAAGAGAAGGAGGAAACGTTGGGGAATAGCAACAAGTTTCTCACAGTTGTGTTTTGTTGTAGCAGCAGCCACGCCCGGTGAACCCGAGGCGTCCCTGAACAACCAGGACTTGAAAAGAGCAAAGCTATCTCGGCACGCCTCCTTCAACATCACACCGACTCCGGTGGCTGCGCAGCGGCAGGTCAGCTCGGCTCCCAGCAGCCCTCGCTGTCACCTCTCAGGTGTGGAATGTTCAGGTGTGAACGTGGAGCTCTCCGCCACCTTTGTGAGGGTTAAACTAAGTGCTGCTGTTTGTGCTGCAGGTCTGCAGAACCCGTCTGTGGACGATTCCAGCAGGCCTCAGAGCAGAGGCGTGGTGGGTCGACTGCAGTGTGGACGCAGCTCAGAGTGAGTCGATTCAACTTCCTCTTGTTCATCGACTTGAGTTTATTTATTTATTAAACAGCAGATATACTGAATGTTTTGTCATAAAAGAAAAAAAGCACAAATGCAAAAAAAATCCTGCAACTTTTTGACCAAAAAGTCCTAAATTATGATTACAATTTTAACCCAATTTGTTCTGGTTTCTGTTCAGCAACCTCCTCAACACAGCACTGATCACCCCGCTCTCGCAGAGCAGCAGCTCTCTGCCCCCCTCCTCCTCCTACTACTCCTCCTCCCATCCCTCTGTTCTGCCACTTCAGCCCCACCCTGAGCACCTCCTTATTCCTCAGTCACACTGCTTGGCCTACCTGCCCAGCCTGTCCCAGCCCTCTGTGGTCATGCTGTACAGGCCGCCAGGCAAGCAAGAGTGGATGTCTGAAGGTCAGAGGTCTGCCAAGCTGCAGTCCGGTGAGGAGAGGAAGCGAAGTAGGGGGGAGAGCGAGGAGGAAGAGGAGGTTGTGCAGAAAAAGAAGGGAAGATCTGCAGATCAGGATTCTGAGAAGGTGAGTGATGATATTCTCAGCACCTCAGCTGATCAAAGGGCTGTACAGAAAGAATGAAAGCAGGTAGTAAAAATTCACAAAAAGAGAACAAACAGGAAAAAACACTAAAAAGTCACAGACAAAAGAACAAAACATTCGATTAGAAGCCAAAAGCTACAGTTTAAAAAGTGAACCTTTGGCCTTGATTTAAAAAGGGCAATACAGTGGCACTGTCTCTCCACAAGAGGAAGCTCATTCCAAATTTGAAGAGCAGTGGACACAGAAGCACGTACCTCAGGAGATTCATAGTGTGCTCTCAGGGTTCGAGAAGGAGATGGTCAGCAGACCTCAGTGAGCGGGTGAGTAACAGAGAGAGCCAGTTCATGAAGGGATTTATAGACCTGAGTCACCTGTGCAGCAGCTCATCAGGCGGTCTATCTGCTGATAGAAATTTTTTTTTAAACGAATATCTGCCCCTCCAAAAACTTGCATCCACACCACCTCGTTTTAAAAAAAACACTCCATCCACACGTACCCGGATAAATACGTTGTTAAGGACATGCCAGACCTGTAGGCGGCAGTACTTCCCCCGTTCTTAACCTCGTCCTTCGTCTGTGGTCTTCCGCAAGGAGCAGTAATTCCGCTTGCAAAAACAAACAAGCAAAAAGCGCTTGGACAGTTGATAAAGCGAGCGCAGCTCTGAGGGCATCCATGCTGGCTAGTGTAAACACAGGTCGCACATGTGATGTCAGCATTTTTTTGTCGCGGAAAGTGACGTTGCGGACCTTAAAACTCCGGTTTTGTCTGTCCACACGCAGACACCCAAAACGGAGAAAACGCAGATCTTCACCTTGGCCGGAGTTTTTAAAAAGATCCGTTTTCGTGTGGATGACAGGCCAAAACGTAGAAAAATATCTACGTTTTGGCAGATCCCCGGCTACGTGTGGATAGGGCCTAAAAGGTGCTGGACAGCGGCTCTCCAGACCCAGAGTTGAGTAGCCCTGCTCTACAGCGTCCTTAAAACGTCCGGTTTGCAGCTAAATGAAAATGCTGCAGAGATCAGAGGTGATCTCTGATGGATCACTGGAAAAAGGTGTGCGCGTCTCGGACGCCGTGCTGTCAGACTGACCGCAGTTTGTGATTATCAGGAAGTTTCTTCATTTTTGCAAAAGCGCATCGGTCAAAATGTCCCAACGATTTTACGTTTCATGTCGTAGTTATCTTACTTCCTGTTTTGTTTGATTAGGTGGGAGCAAACCCAGAAAGGAAAGCAGCAGAGATTTCCCTGGTTGGGAACGCCGGGACCTCACCAAGCCTCTCAGGCCAGCCAGTGGCATCAGACAGCAGCAGTGAGCCCGCCCAGCCATCCCACTACCTCTATGTCCCTAACAATGCAGGTGATGTATTCCTGAAACAGCTGCAGCTCAGGTCTGAACTCCTTAGCTTAGTAAACTTACGTGAAACTTTTCTGTCCTGTCTGATGCAGGGTTAAACAGCCTGAACTTCCTCATCCCAGCCGGACATCCCGCCGCCGGTGTAGCACTTCCTCCCAGCAGCGTTCCCTCCATGGCGCTGCCATATGTCCTGTTACCCTCCGCCGCCCTCTCCCACTACCCCCTGATGACCGGCGGCATGCAGCAGCTAGGCTCTGATAATCCCACTAACCTGGGTTTCAGTCTGCCTGCTGTGATGTCACCCACCCACTTCATGGTGGGGGCGGCGCCTTACAGTGTGGCAGCGGTGCCAGAGATCATCGGGTCGCCACTTTCATCACCAGTCTCTCCAGAACACAGACCATGTAATGCGTCTGCAGCAGGAACTCCGCATTCTCCCTCCGGGCTGCGGGAGACCATCAGCGTCTGGTCGGAGGACCCTCTGGTGAGACCTGCAGAACAACTCAGGGCTGATCTGGAATCAGACGCTTTACCATCCAAACATATTCCCTGCTCTGTCTGTCTTCAGACTCCACACAGGCCCAAGGAAACCACAGCACCATGTTCTAAAGCCTTCTTCCAGACCCCAGGAACTCTGGGAAGTGCAGTTGGCAGTGCCAGGAAGAGAGGTTCAGCTCAGAGGAGGCTGGACGTCAGCCACCCAGCTGCTGTGGAACGGGACGGAAACGCGTGTTGAACACGTTCTGCCGCGGTGGAACATGGTTAAAATGTTTGGTGCTGAGGTTTAATTCAAAAACAGTAAAAAGTTGTAGTAAAGGACCGAAGTTTATAAAAGGGAAAATCTTAAATGTACCACCAACTTCCTGTTTTTACTCGATACGTGTTATTCATAAACGTGTTCTCTGGTCAGTTTATCAGAAGTAGTTTCAGAGGAAATAGATGGAACGGTGTTTCCGGTCCAACACCACCCTCTAGTGGTGGAGTTCGTTCCTGCCGTGTGTTTTTATTTCAGCCTGAATTATCTAGATCAAGCTGCCTAATTCCTTCTCTTTTGTATTATAGCCCAATTTCTATTTATACTTTAGATAATATATGTTGATTACATGACTGTAATAGAACGTTTATCCTTTCTTAGCACTAAGTTTTCATCAAATGTAAAAAGATTCAATGTTTCGTGGCCTTTCATTGTGTTACAGTATGAAGGCGTAAAAGGAATTCTGTGTGTTGATGTGTAGGACAATCGTCCTTTGGCTCATTGAAATGTTTCTGTAAGGAGGAGAAGGAGGGGAAATCACTAAAGCCTTAAATGTTTACAGCCTTGCACAGATCTGAACTGTTGGGTTTACTCCTCAGGAGGGCTGGTGTGACCTGATCTGTGCAATCTGAATGCTTTAACACCAAACCGCGGCACTGTTACTCGTGACTAAAATGTGACAATGCCCTCAGGTACTTGAGCGATGAATACAATATATTTATATCAGAGTACTGTAAGAAAAGAAAATCCTTTAATTATAGAGGGTGTATGGTTCTTCTAGCATTCAGCTTTTATTAAAATCAGCAACGACAGAAACACGTAGCTTCTTAGGTTTGGTGCTGTTAGAAACTTGGTTGGGATAAAAATGTCTAAAAATTTAATTCCCTATGGAGTTCATTTTAGAAGGGTTTTATTGCCAAAACGGGTCTAGATCCTCCACTCTGGACATCGTCACGTTTATTTTCATTTAAAACTGTTATATGCAGAAGATTAAATGCTGCTTTGTTTAGAAAATAAACTGCCCCCATTTTCAGTTGCATCTCCCCCTCGGTCTCTCACTAACATGAAATAAACAGATGTTTTTGTAACATTTTGTCACGTTTATGCTTTAATTTCAATGTGTCGTCTATGTTGTTTTTCTCAGATTTAATGGTTTTACCATCATACATGACAATGACTAAATGCAGAAACTATTATAGAAAAAGGTAAAATACTTTCACGGAGACCTGATCTAATACAAAACATCTGTTCAAATAGTTCACATCATCTTGACAAAGTGTTGTACTTGTATAACTTTAATAGTCACAAGCTTAAATAAAAAAAATTCTAAGGGCTCCTTTTCCTATGGGGACAGAACACACTGTGTGTCCACTAGGGGGCAGTCTAAAAGTTCATTTAAACATGTATCAAACCATTTTACAAACCAGGAATTTTCCTGTAATTCTGACTGAAGTTTTCATTTCCACAGAACATAAACTAAAAACAAAGCGATCTCGGTTTTTTTTCCCAGACGTGCCAGCTTGTTCTTATTGCTCAGATTTCAAATGGCCTTTAGTAGACGTGTGGATGAGTGACCACGTTAAGAAAGGCTGACATAAACCAGAACTCAAAAGATTTTTTTTATGTTGTAAATTTCAATGAGAAGATTCTTGTTTTTGTACAGATTCTTTAATGTGTATTTGTAGTTGTGCAATATGGTTGAATTTCTTTCAGTTCTGATTTCTCATCTTGTGACGAGATTGGTCGTTTAAAAAGAATTAAGTTGAATCACAGCTTTTCATTAATAGGCTATGTTTCATATGCATAAATCTACATATTTGAAGGTAATCTGGTCAGTTTTTCTAAACCCCTCATAATGTGAAAGCAGTTAGAACTATATAAATGTTTATTTTTTTATTTTTAATACTTCGTGACTGAAATATTTGTACATTTTTTCCTTGGATTGTCTTGCTGTTTTACAACTTCCTCTGTCACTGTCTTTTTTTGTCATATTTCATGATCACTTTTGTCTCGGGAGTATGCAGACGTCATGACTCAGTGTCTCTCCAGTCTTTGGCCTTGCCCTAAAACACGACCCAAACGTTTAGTCCCGCCCCTCCCTCTGAAGCCCCGCCCACAGCCGAAACAGCACAATTCTGTGTATAGTCTCTTTATACCTCCTACAGTCTGGATCCTCAGTTAAAGCCTGGAGCTGAGCGAATATCCTGAACACAACTGACTAAATTCACACAGTAAGTATATATTTTCATCAAATATAGCAAAATGTTGCAGTTGAAGCAATTATTTATTTTAATGTTAATAGTATTTATGTGGTTAAAAGAATCTAAAGAATTAATAAAACTGAGATTAGCTGATTTATTTTAGAACTGAACAGTCAGATTAATTCTACTTAAAAATAAAATCTCGTTGACACACAGAGATAATTTAAAGAGTTTCATTAATCTTTTTCATTCAAATCCAGCACTGTTCTAGTCCATGTGGTAGAGAGCATGTGATGGTGTTAGAAAGGCCCCAGTTCTAGTTTCAGATTCACGTTAAAGAATGACAACTCAGAATAATTTAAATGCATTCTAATAAGCTTGAAAGTTATGACTTTGTCTATAAAACTTTCATGTGGAACATCTGTGATTGTTGTGCCAATTAAGTGCTTAATAATGAGTAGAATCAGACATAAAAACTGGGGCGACCCAGATTTCTCTGTAGCAACACCTGAATCTGGAACCAGCTCCCACCTAATCTCTCACCCCAACCTTTTCAAATCCAATCGTAAAACTTTTTTGATTCGTTGAAGCCTTTAATGCTCAGTAGTGATGACTTTCATTCTGGATTTCTGGCTCATTCCACTCCCGTGTTTTGTGTGCGTTTAACAAACTCTTTTATATTTACTTTTGAAGAAGTAGAAACAAATTTTTATAAAGTACCTCTAAAGATAAAAATTATGAGGTGTTTCACAAGGATAAAAGATATATTATTTTTAAAATATATCGCAATAAAAATTGGGAAAATGAAAATTTTTAATTAAAAAATTGTGAAGGAAGAAAAAGTGGATAAGAAAAGGTAATACAGGATTCTGAGAAAGGCAGACTTGGCAGAAACTGTAGCAAGAGAAGAAGGTAGTGAGTGTGAATCAACAGAAGGTCACACCAAAGCCAGCCTGAACGGGTGAGTTTCAGCTGCTTTTTAAAGGAGACCACTGAGTCCACTGATCTCAGGCTCAGGGGGAGAGAGTTCCAGAGTCTGGGGGCCACAGCAGCAAATGATCTGTCACCTTTGGTCTTTAGCCTGGAGCGCTGCACAACCAGTAGGCTTTGATCACTGGACCTCGGGGACCTGCTGGGGGTGTAGGGACTAAGAAGATCACCAATGTAAGATGGTGCTTGTCCATGTAAGGCCCTATAGACCAGAACCAGGTTCTTGAAATGAACCCTGAAGTTGACTGGCAGCCAGTGAAGCTGGAGGAGAAGCGGGGTGATGTGGGTGTGTTTGGAGGACTTGGTCAGAAGCCGAGCACAGGCATTCTGAACCACCTGTAGACGGTTCAGGGAGGTTCTGCTCAGACACGTGAAAAGAGAGTTACAGTAGTCTAAGCGTGAGGAGATGAAGGTGTGGAGAGCTGTCTCAAGTTCAGAGCGAGACAGAATGGGACTCAGCTTAGCAATGTTCCTGAGATGGAAGAAGGAAGAGCGAACAAGAGAACTGACATGAGAATCCAGGGTGAGAGCTGGGTCAAAGGTCATGCCAAGGTTCCTAACGGAAGATTTGGTGTGAGAAGCACGCTGACCAAGAGAGTCTCTGACTTTGGGAACCAGCTTGTCTGGGGCACAGATGAGGATCTCAGTCTTATCTTCATTCAGCTGAAGAAAGCTCCCAGCCATCCAGGTTTTGATAGAGTCTAAGCAGGTGTGTAACAGCTGCAGCTTAGACATCTCATGGGGTTTTAAAGGAGATGTACAGTTGGATGTCATCTGCATAAAGATGGTAGGAGATTCCTTTGAAGGAGCTCAGGATTTGCTGAAGAGCAAGCAGATAGAGGAGGAACAGTAGGGCTCCAGCACAGAACCTGGAGGGACACCATAGGTGAGGGAGATTTTAATTTAGACTTTGGGTGTCTAGTTTACTGTAAAGAGCTTTATCAATGAATGAATGAATGAATGAATGAATGGCTACAAACACAAAAATGAATCATAGGTTAGAATTCCAGATGGTTTAGTTAGCGATGTAAAGGTGGATTCTGACAACTAGCTTTTTTGTTGGTGGATCTCTGATAAGCTTCTATGTCTCTGTGCCTTTTAAAACTCTTAGAAATGAACAATTTTAATTCACACAAGTGCTTCATGCTCTCATCCTGCTGTGACAGCCAGGACAACAGGAGGTCTTGGGCGTGGCGCCCTTCTGACATTCCTCCGGGTATTAGTCTGCTCTGTTTGGGCTGACTGTGTTTGCTCCGTTTTGTTTTTGTTTTCCTCGTTGTGGCTGTAGCAGCCTTGAGTGGTGGTTTCTACTTTAACTACGTCTACTGCGATTAGAAATTCTGCAGATATTACAGCAACCACATGCCTCAAATTAGAAACTGTTACAGAAAATGAAACTTTCACAAGTATGAGAGTGACGTGTTTATTTCTGTCAGGGTATGGAAAAGTCAAAGCAACTCAGAAACAAACTCACCATTTCTCCACAGGAAGAGACGCCATGCCAAACTGGGGAGGAGGCAACAAATGCACGGCGTGCCGCGGGACGGTTTACCACGCAGAGGAGGTGCAGTGTGATGGCAAAAGTTTCCACAAATGCTGTTTTCTCTGCAGTAAGTACAGCTGCTAAATACTCAACAAGGAACAAAGATCAAAGTTTTTTTTCTTTGTCAGGTTTTCTTTCTAAAGCTGATTTACTATAGAATGTAGTAGTGGGTACTACTCAGCAAGTGAGTACTACTATAAGTTCATGTATCTCTACTACGGCAGGTTTTAATGATGATGATTTCATTCCCTAAATCCTTATTAACTATTTATTATTTTTGTAGTTCCTTCTATCCCATATTTGCTCAAACTCCATGTGTTTTCACTCGTTTGATGGAGGTGGATTCATGCACTGTTGCTGCTACTTTCATTACATCATAGATACGATCTTACGATCTGTTCCCAGACAAGTTTTCTCAAACTTTCCTCCAACGGGTGATTTCTCATTTTCTCTGTCAAAGTGATTTAAGCATGTGTGGTTATTGTAGTGACTGTTTTATAACTGGTTTAACTCTTTTTATTTACTAGGCTAATTAAAAGCTACAGTCTCAGTGTCTGAGTATCCCAGTCATGACAACACTGGAGACTTTAATTCCTCTGTAAATGGCCTGTATTTGATATAGCGCCTTCTAGAGTCCCAGAACCCCCCCAAGGCGCTTTACAACACAATCAGTCATTCACCCATTCACACACACATTCACACACTGGTGGGGATGAGCTACAATGTAGCCACAGCTGCCCTGGGGCGCACTGACAGAGGCGAGGCTGCCGAGCACTGGCGCCACCGGTCCCTCCGACCACCACCAGCAGGCAACGTGGGTTAAATGTCTTGCCCAAGGACACAACGGCAGCGACAGACTGAGTGGGACTCGAACCTGCAACCTTCCGATTACGGGGCGAGCACTTAACTCCTGCTTAACTCCTGTGCCACCGTTGTGGTTGTCAAAGTTGGGGTTGGGATCCCATGGTGGGCCACCAAGAACTACTCAGGGGGTCTTTAGAGGATTTCTAGAAGCTATATTTGTAGCATAATTGTTATACAAACTCACTAAAATTTTCATAAATGGATATAAGTGAAAATGAGCTGAAGCAGTTCTTTAGCCGTATTAAATCGGAGATATCTGGGTCACATGTCTTGACAGGTGCTGCTGTGTTGTGGGTCTGAAGCTGAATAGTTTGGAAATCCGGAGAGACCAAATCAGCATTATAACTCCAGAGTTCTGACAGCATCACACACCTTCCTTTAAAACAACTTCAAAATAAGAGCCCTTTGCAAATTTACAGCACATTCCACTTTAAATCATTAGATTTTGATTTCTTGTTGGTGTCATCATGTTTTTGTCCTGCAGACTGCAGCCGATTACACAGTTCTCCATTTACCACACATCAAAAACACAGAACTCCTTGTTTTGCAGCTCCTAAATAATAAAATATGTAATGAGCTGATTGTAGTTTTGTGAGAACTTTATCTGTATTTTTAAACACATTTTAAAATTTTTATAATATGCATGATAGTGAAGATGGTAGCAATGTTGCCTTACTGTGTGGAGGTTGCAGGTTCAAATCCTGGCTGGTGCCGTTTTTGCACAAAGTGAGCATGTTCTCCCTGTGCAGACGCGGGTTTTCTCTGGGTGCTCTGGTCTGCTCACACAGACAATATTCTAGACTCAAAGTGCCACTCTAATCAGCTGTTTAATCAAAAATGCCTGCAAAGGGTTCCTGCTCCTTTAGATGGTCTCTCAGTCTAAATCTGAATTAGTGACATAAATGAACTTTTGTTTTATATTCTAGTTTTTAGAGTTTCACCTTTACATAAAATCCACTAACGTTGATTTAGCAAAGCTATTGGAAATGCTCAGTATGGAAACTTTTTTTTTCTAATGACATCACATTTGATTTCATGACTCTGTGTTACTGTTGTTTACTGCTCAGTTTGACACTGACTGAAGAGAATAAACTAAACTAGAATTAACTTAGTTTTGTGGTTCTGCTAGTTTTGGCGTTTCAGGCTGAGGCTGTAAAATGTTTCACAGTAATTATGGAAATCTTAGGCGTACCTGGAGCAGATAGAATTTTTACCTGCTCACATCTGTCTATCTGGAACACACATGAACATCTGCTGGACTGTTTTGCTTCATCTAAGCTGAGAACAGCCACTCAGGTCAGAAACCAGAAGAGTCTGGTCTGAACAGCAGCTGTTGAACTCGGTCTCCCCTGATCTGGTCAGAAGCGTGTTGAGTTCACACTTCCTTGTTGTACGTTTGTGGAGGGACCTTTCCCCATCCAGATCCATCCTTGAAAGTAGCTTTTATGAAAAGGATTACATTTATGTGCCAACCACCTAAGCTGCAAAAGATGAGTTCAAATTTTAAACATTTCTCTTACAAAAGCTGCTTTATCTGGCTCTGAAGATGTTGAACTTAAAGTCTCCATGGTCTTTTCTTTGGCATTCCTCTTTATGTGTGGATGAAAGGCATATTTATACACACAAAGAAGGCCCACTGTTGAAAATGGGGCCTTGTGGGACTCTCCCTGTAGGTTAATAATGAAAGCTTCTGGTCCATGATCCATGCAGGAACTGTACTGAAGTAAAAGAGAACAGCAAATAATCAGAAAAAAACTCAGAATTACAATGGCTGGATGTGTCTGGGTTATAGGGCCAGATGATGACATAAACACAAAACTTCAGACTCTGTTGGTCAGAGGATTAAAGCTGAGGTGTACAATCACAGAAAGCCTTTGTGTGGAGAAGTTAAGATAGTTCCTTCACCAACTGTGATTTAAATATTATCCCTGTATTAACAACAGTCTGGTGATGTTTTATGTGGTACCTTATTAAAATGTGCACAGCTAGAGAGAGAGAGAGAGAGATATCAACTAAAACATTTGACGTGTTCCTAAAGGTTTTCTCGTGTCAGCAGATGTTTTGGGTGTTTCTTGAAAACATCTTTTCCCATCTTTGTGTTGGATGGCTATTCTGGTTCAGTCTTGAGGCATGCAGATCAGGTCCCATTATCAGAGACTTCTCTCTGACTGACTTCATTTGTATCCTGACAACAACTTAACATTCCAACAACAGCTGGATGATGTGGTTCCTGGAATCATAACAAATGCTGTGGCCATCACAAAAGTTTAAGTCATATGTAATTTTACTTAAGTATGAGAGAAAAACACACTCAGTCACTAAGTAGTGATCAGTTTAATGTAAAAGGAAGACAACGATTTAAGGTCCTGATCCAGATGATAGTCTACAGGTGGTGGGGTGTTGTTGTTTAAGACCCAAATACCCCGATGGTAGGAACTGTTGATCTTCAGGCAGTTAGAATCCTGTAATGTCTGCTGTATGGTAACAGGTTAAGTTCACTGACCATCTCAGTGGCCAAGTGGTATGAGTGTCTACCCCGAGACTGGGAGATTGTGGGTTCAAATCCATGGTCGGGTCATACCAAAGACTTTCAAAATAGGACCCAATGCCTACCTGCTTAACACTCAGCATTAAGGGGTTGGATTGGGGGGTTAAACCACCAAATGGTTCCCAAGCTCGGCTGTGTCTGCAGCTTACCGCTCCCCTGGGGAATGGGTCAAATGTGGAGAACAAATGTCACAGTGTGTTTGACAACTAGTCGGACATTAACTTTAAATGTGCATGCTGAATGGCTTTGGTATTTGATAATGGTCATAGCCTTAATTGTCTTCAATAACCAGTAGTCTTTTCCCTATGATGTGTTTTGCTGCCTTCACTCTACTTCCTGTACTGATCTCCAACTGCAGAGTAGCTCCCATACCATACAGTAATGCCAACCATTAGCAAATTCTCGAGCACTGCTCTGTAAAAGTTCTGGATTATGTTGGATTTCATGCCCAGTTTCCTCAACCTCCTCAGGAAGTTGAGCCACTGATGAGCTTTCTTGACCACTTTGTCTATGACCCGGTCCCAATAGCCACACTGCAGCCTACAGTCCTCTATGAGTTGCATATGGTGGAAGTGCATGCCCTTAGCTGAAGTCTGCACCAATGCAGGCTTTGGTGAAGTGTGGATTAGGAACGCAAAAGGAATGGCCATGGTCCACATTTCAGGACAATTGGGACACCCTACGCCAGGCGTATTAAATTCCATCATCATCATCATCATAAACCTTTATTTATAGAGCACATTTAAATGGCGCCAACGCCATCCAAAGTGCTGTACACGACAATACGTCACCAAACTAGATACAGCAACATAAAATAGATAAAACAAATAAAAACATAATAACAAAAAAACAGGAAAGCACAAGGGTTAAACAGTCTCAGCCTTGAAGGCCAGGGAATAAAAATAAGTCTTCAAACGTACTTTAAAAGTGGGAAGGGAGGGGGCAAGTTGGACCATCAGGGGAGTTGGTTCCAAAGTTTAGGCGCACAAACTGAAAAAGCCCATTCGCCATGGGCCATATAGCGGGCAGGAGGGACAAGCAGAAGGTGCTGGTCAGAGGACCTCAGGGTTCGCGCCGGAACATAGGGACTCAAAAGATGTGCCAAAGAAGAGGGGGCCATTTCATGAATAGATTTGTAAACCAACAGAAGAATTTTACGAAATAGTTACGAAACCGAACTGGAAGCCAGTGTAAATTTGCCAAAACAGGGGTGATATGCTGCCGTTGGTCTATGCCCGTAAGAAACCTTGCGGCGGCATTCTGAACCAATTGGAGGCGTAGCACTGAAGAGGAGGCAATACCAAATAAGAAGGAGTTGGCATAGTCCAGAAGTGACTTTACAAAAGCATGAACAACTGACTGAAGATCTCTTTTGTTCAGGACAGATTTTTGTTTGGCCAGCTGGCGAAGATGAAAGAGACGTGACTTGACTACCTGATTTATCTGTGCATCCATTTTTAAAAAAGTGTCCAGAGTGACCCTCAAATTTGTAATTGTTGGCTTCACCAAAACTGACAATGACGGGGCAGAGATGGCTCCACAGCAGAGGGGGAGCAGGGGGCAAAGAGAATAGCCTCCAGTTTGGAGCTGTTAAGATAGAGAAAATTAGCCGAGAGCCAGGACCTGACTTCACTCAGGCAGTCAGTCAGTGGTTGCACAGGGTCAGCAGATTTTAGGGCCATAAAAAGCTGACAATCGTCAGCGTAGAGATGAAAATTTACCCGGAATTTTCTAAAAATGGCTGCCAAAGGTAAATTATATAGATTAAAAAGAAGTGGACCTAAAACAGACCCCTGGGGAACCCCACAAAAAAGAGGTGCTACTCTAGAGGCGCAATTCCCCAGGGCAACATTGAAACATCTGCCATTGAAATAGGAGCAAAACTGGGCCATATAGCGGGCAGGAGGGACAAGCGGAAGGTGTCGCCAACGTATTAAATTCCAGTCCTGGAGGGCTGGTATCCAGTACATTTTTGTGGTTCCTCTGCTCCAACACACTTGATTCCATGGTTGAATCACCTGTGCAGCATCTCATCAGGCTCTGCAGAAGCCTGTTAATCACCTGCTTGTTGAAACTGTGCTCCAGGCCCAGAATTGAAAAGCCCTGGCCTACGCACTCACACGCCTGGATGGGAAAGCACAAATGAGGGGCAGGAGTGTGGAAGTTCCAGTATTTGAACTGGGCCTTCATGGAGGGTCCTTGGCGATGTTTGTTCTGGGTAGCTTAAAACTGCAAACCCTTTCAACTTCCACCCTGTTGACACAAATGCTCCAGTGGATTATTGTGTGTGGGATTCCCTTACTTAGGAAGTCTATGAAGGTCAAAAGAAGAACTGACAGCAGAAACCATGTAAAGATGGCAGAAAATAACTCACTGAGACACAAGAGTTCAACTGCTATTGGAGAAGCGGTCTAAAAAGGACTAGCTGAGTTTATATCTGAACCATTTTTATTACATACCCAGTTGTGCTGGGTCCAGCCAACCTGAAACTTCAGCTTCTTTTCAGTGTTTCAGCAGAAGCACACATAAATCCATCTGTCTAGTCAACACCTTGTGTCTGTTTCCTCAGTGGTCTGCAGGAAGGGTTTAGACAGCACCACACTGGCAATCCACGACCAAGAGATCTACTGTAAGTCCTGCTATGGGAAGAAATACGGCCCAAAAGGCTACGGCTACGGACAGGGAGCTGGAACGCTGAACATGGACCGAGGAGAGAGGCTGGGAATCAAACCAGAAGAGTAAGCTCCAAGGTTTTCTACATAATTGTGTTTCATTTTAAATTCTTGCCTGTTTGAGTGAAATAATAATGTTCTGAATGGTTCTGCGGTGCGATCAATTGCTGCTCAGAGTCCTATTTCATCAAAGTTTCCATCTGACGTGAATTAAGTGTCTGAATGTGTGCAGTCTCAGAGCGTAGGACTGAAAGCTCTGCTCTCTTATTACGTTCTGTGAAAATACTTAAAACCCCTTTTTACATTTCAACAAACCCTGTGGAAGACCATTCATCACACATGGTTACATAAGTAGGGCCATGAAGTTGGAGTTCACCGAGTTCTGCGCTGCGTTGTGGAGTAATGATTTTATTAGCTGTGGCTGCTGACTGTGACCGAGTGTTTGTTTCTAAACAGCATGTGCTCATGAAAATGAACTCCATGTGCCTCTGCAAAACAAAAAGGGCTTCATGTCAAATCAGAACTGTTGGGGAAAAAAAACTGTGGAAGAAGCACAGGGTGTGTCTGTCCTCATCGCCCTCGATCGATACAGTGATAATAAAACACAATGATTCCTGTAAAAATAATCCAACATGCAGCTCGTCTTCTTTCCTTCATACCTTCAGTGTTCTCACTGACTGAACCCCAAAGCTTCAGATGAGTGGCAAAGCGCTTTATCAGATCCTGCTAGGCTGGTGTAATCTAAGACAAAACTGCTACAGCTCAAAATCACATCATCAACTTTGTAATGATCTCAGCTCAGACATTTGATCTATAATGTACAACTAAGCTAAAGAAATGTTAAAGCTGCAGCCAGTGGCTCATTAGGGTCTCCATGGGAAAGACAGGAACACAGACAAAGAAGAAAGCAGGGTGAAAACTGGAAGTCTTATTGTACAAAGTTTAGTACTGCAGCGTAGGCAAATCGATGATTTTTATTTGTTATGACCAGGAAGATGTAATGTTCTATGTAAATATAAAATATTAACCTGCTAGAAGATTCTAGGATTTAATTCAGAAGATCTAGGTTCTTTGCTTTTTCAGTGATCAACCACACTTTGTGTTTCTTCAAGAAAGAGTCAGGTTTGTAAAAGTAAGAATTTATTTTGCAAACTGTTAAAACATGACTAATTAATTAAGCATTTACTGTGAGTGGATGTAACTAAACGTGATGAAGGAACCTATGTGTGAATGCGATGTCAGTCAGAGCTTCCTTATCAAAGCAAGCTGAGTTCTGGTGAAAAGAATTTGGTTTGCTTTAAGCTATAAAGTTGTTATCATCAGAAGAACATCAGATGCAATCTGTCATGTCTACTTCACCCGTTTTGGAGAGACCCTCTTGGTGGTTCCGAAAGTCGCAGGGGTCGGCTGACCTCTGTCATGAGGCGGTGGTGAGGACCCAAGATGCAGTACCCAGGATGACACGAGGCAAGGATGATGATAAAGTAAAAGTTCTTTATTTTTAGGTGAGCCAAAAACCAAGTATATCCAAGCTGGAAGCCAAAAATCCAAAAACCAGATAAATATCTGGGGATCAAAAACTCTGGAATAAACACAGAGGGCCGAAACTGACAGAACTACAAACAACATTAATGGACCGACACAGGACAAAGACAAGGCAGGGCTAAAATAGACTGGGAGAGGCAATCAGGAAAACAGGCAGCAGGTGTGCGGAGTGAGCTGCTGGAGGGAAGGCAGGTGACGACAATAATCTAAATGGGGAAACAGAACAGAGAATGGCAGATAACCCTAAAATACAATATTTAAACCTAAAGACTGAGGGAAAGGCTAACACAAACTATCTGGAGGAGGACATAATACCCACACATATACACGCACGCACACACACAAACACTAACTGGGCAGGACACACACACACACACACAAACACTAACTGGGCAGAACACACACACACACACACACACACACACAAACACTAACTGGGCAGAACACACACACACACACACACACACACACACATACACACACACACACACACACACACACACACACACAAACACTAACTGGGCAGAACACACACACACACACACACACACACACACACACACACACACACACACACACACACACACACACACACACACACACACCGAGAGCAGGAGACTGAGAGGCTGGGGGCTACAAGGACACAGAAAATGAAGACCTGGAAGGGCTGGGGAGGAATGAGATGACACGGGACCTGGGAGGAATAATTGTACCGGTACCACATAAGACACAAAGACTGAGACGAAGACAAGGACACATGAGGGCGCTATGAGACACAAAAGGGAATCTAGAGAGGGATGGAGGACACCAGGAGGCACAAAAAAGGAGGGGGCCGACGCAGACCATGACAACCTCTGGCACCGGAGGGCTGTAGAATACCATGGTACCGACTCTTCAGTCCAGAGATGTCTCGGGTCATAACAGCTGGATGGAACCGTGCGTCTGGCGGACTCTTAAGAAGTCTAAAAATATCAGCTTTGTTTCTGCAGGAACTGTTTGCTCATCAGCTTTGGAGGTGCAAAAAGGTTTTAACGATGTGTCAAAATCTTTGATGGTTAAAGAGGTTTTGCTACAGATGGCCGGTCTGAGCGATTCTCTAGAACTGTCGAATCACTCAAGATGATCCAGTTTTAAGATTTTGATGTTATGACTTGCACAGCCAATCAGAGGCTGACAAGTTTGAGAGATGTTACCAAGACAACTCAGAAAAACTCCTTCTTGATACAGGATGTTCTGACTGGTTTAATACTATGTGTTGGAGTTTAACTTAACCTTACTTGTTATTGTGTGAGTGCAGGTGTGAGGACCTCGTCGTCAAAACATGTTGAACACCGCACTTAGACACTGATGGCTGAGGGTGTAAGTGGGGTGGTGCGGTGGCATCAGCTGGCATATGCTGGATGATGCCCGCACTGCCCACTCACCACAGCCATGGAATACACCTCATGATCACACAACACTATATTGGAGCAGGCGGAGGGAGACTAGGGGTCTTAGCCACCTCTGTTGTTGCTAGGCTTCCTGGGGCTGGAGGCTAGGAGGGAGATCTGGCCGTCTGGTTGGGGTCTGGGGTGGTGGGTTGCTGTGCTCAGCGTTGGGCGGGGGAGCCTGCTCATCAGCACCCCAGCAGAAAGGGTCAAACTCTGGTTACCGGTGATGGTTGTACCCAATGTGCAGCAGTACCGGGACCAGAGTGAATAGGGTGTGTATGGGGAGCATGAGTGGGTGTCCGGCGTGCATTTTTGTAAGTCTTGGGTTGTATGTGCATGTGTGAGCATGAGGGAGGGAGTGTGTGACTGTGTTTGTGTATGACTGTATATGTCAGGTGGGGCCTTTGGGTCCTCCCCTCTCCTGGAACTTCTTTTGATGATATAGATCTCTGTCCCCCCTCCCCCTACCACACCTGGTGTGGGGGCTTGTGCCATGGTCTGCCTGAGTGTTCGTGGCAACCGGGTCTGGGGGTTTAAGATTTTGGCATCTGCCTGTTAGATCCCGGTGGCTGCCTGGTGGGGTCTGGGTCCCTGGGCTCTGCTGGGTCCTCAGCTGGGGGTGGTCGCCCCTGGGTCCCGGGTTGCTGGGTCCCGGGCTCGGCCGGCTAGGGGGTGGGAGGCTGCGGGCGGGCCTGTGGGCTTGCCGCTGATGTCTCCGAGGACTCTGCCGGCTGCTGGTTGTGGCCCCCCGGGGCGATCCTCTGTGCCTCTCGAGGGGGGCGGGGGCCTTCCTGGTTGTAGTCTCCTTGGGGTTCCTGTGTTCTGGGGCAGCGCCTGGATCTCTGGGACTTGGAGCTCCCCCCGTCTCCTGCGCATCTTTGGGGGGCGGATCTGTGGTCCCTCACACTCTCTGTTGGACGCTCCTATAGAGAATCCTTAAATAAACAAGCGCGTGTACACACACAGGTGCTCACATGGTGCTCTCAAAAGTATGGGCTTGGGCACGTTAAACACAGGTCTTAAGACTATGGTGGGCACTTAATGCGTTGTGATTTATTATCGTGATTCTTCAATTAAGCAATGTTGATTATATATATATATATATATATTCTTTTCATCAAGTTGACGCAGTGATAGGTAGATCTTGTTGTATTGTTGTTGTGTCCCTTTTTTTGTGTCCCTTTGTTTTTTTTTTGTCTTTTTTCTGCAGGTCTGGAAGCAGACTCTTGTTCATTATTGTTTGTTTTTGTGGAACCCCCCCCCCCCCCCCCCCTCTCTCTCTCCCCACCTTTTCTTTTCCTCTCTCTTTCACCTCTGTCTCCGTGTCTGGTCGGAATTACAAAGCATTCAACAACAATAACAATAAAGTTTTAAGTATCAGGCGTGACATTAAAAGCAAATGCTTTGATGCTCCACCTGAGAATAAATCTGTAAGGCTTGTCGCCAGCATTCAGACATCAATTCTGCTTGCTTCACAGCCAGACAGGACACGGTAAAAAAAAAAACATGTTGAACCCATGGCAGGTTCCAGTAGACAAACATAACATAACATCCATTCAGTGAGCACAGACTAATGAAGCATATCATTATACTATAATTATTATAAGTAGTAATAAACAAATGTTTATTTAATGATTATCTAGATTATAAGTCATGGAAGAAGTTCATATTGATTTAGGAAATCATTCTTGAATTTAGCAATTGATTCGAACTGGAGTTCTTCCTTCTGTGGAGGCAGACAGATGGGACCTTGGGAAAGAAAGTTATTTTTATCTTTCAGACTTGCAGAGTCTGTGAATCCCAGCTGGTATGAAGGCAGACTCGTTTAAAGGGAACACATGCATCGTTGTGTCTCCTTTCTGACCTGGCTGAATAGATGTTGAAAGGTCAGACTGTACCTAAACTGACCATTGCTGGACATTACAGTGCTTTATTTAGAAGATATTTGTTTAAAATGTTTATGCTTATGTATTTAGCAGACACTTTTGTCCGAAGCGACTTACAGGTGATAATCAAGCCAGCAGGTTGCCCTTGAGGCTAACAACAAACACAAGGTGGCAGTGAGGCAGCATAATCAATCATAGAGGGACGCAAACATGGAGTGTGCAGTAGAGTGGGGGGCGGGTGCTAGGAGGGTGCTAGTTTAGAAGATGCTCTCTGAAGAGCTGGGTCTTCAGGAGTTTAAAATTTCTAGTAGTGCTTGGTAGGTCATTCCACATCTGTGGAACGATGCACGAAAAGAGTCTGGATGATCCTGAGCGTAGTGTAGGCTCTGCTAGCCGACAATCCTTCGATAACTGGTGCGGCCAGGCCGTGACGTAAGCCTTAGGAAGAAGGATTCAGTAGGGCTGGGACGATAATCAATAAATCAATTAATCGTATGATAGATGAAAATGAACTCTATTTTTTCTGCCTCAATATATCGAGGTTAAAAAATGTACAGCTCTGTTATTATTGTTTATCATCATTATTGAAGTGCAGTTTTGGTTGTTGACACTGATAGGCCATTGTATTTGTTGTTTTGACAGGGTCTATTTTATTGTTTTTGGTGCAATTTTTTTCTAACAGAGAGTGAAGGTCCTTTCTCATTTTTATTTATTTTTTTTTTTGTTTTATTTATTTATTTGAAAGTTCTGGTTCTGGACATTCCAATGTTAAATAAAGGTGCAGTTGTTGCATTTTAAGGGTGTACATTATTGTGATACATTAACATTACATAAGTGGCTATTTTGGTTTCGATAATGTTGACAATAATATCGTTTATCATCAATAACTTATTGGACAATATATCATCCAGCAAACTTTGTTATTGTCCCAGGCCTAGGATCCATCCAGGACTTTGTATGCTAGTGCTAGCGATTTGAATTTGATGCGTGCAGCTAGCGGTAGCCAATGGAGCTCAATGAACAAAGGGGTGACAAAATACTTCACTTCCTGTTTTGAGCCAAATTACACAATCTGTGGACGCTTGGGTGTACTGCACTACAGCTTTGAGAGAAACAGTGGGTTAAAGAAGACAGAAAAGTTGAGTTTTCACGTATAATTTCTATAAATAGTAAAAAAGTTTTTGGATGTCACCCCGGCTTTCCACCGGACACGTAAACGTTGAGCAACGTCCGTCAAGCATATGGACCCAATAGTCACGGTGCGTTTTGGACGAGTCTCATAAGCATAGTATCACGCTGCTCTACTTAATTTAGTTCTATTTTTTATGCGCTACTCTTCCAGAACTCGTCAAACTTGGCAGTTCAGATCGGGCCAGACAGGAAGTCAAACATGAGAGCAACGTAAAACATCTGACCACTTTCAAAATCAAATATACGTGCTAATTTCCCTATCTAGTAAAATAAATGTCATTATCTGTGACGAGGTAAAGTGAACAAAAAAAAATACCCCACAGACCTCTAAGGAAACACGCTGCCATCTTTCTCCTTGCTTGTTATTGCGTGAACTGGAGAAATCACGCGTGATCTTACTATTCTCTGGTGATTTTGTGACCTTGCGGGACCTATTAAACGCTCTCGGTGGGAAGGAACACTACTGAGGTAGACGGAAGTCGGGGTAAGAACAGATTCCTAATGGTTTGCATCAATCAATCGTTAAAAGGAATAACAATATTAATATATCAAATAGAAATTTTGTGGAAAAATTTAAAAACAAAAGCAACAACTTAAAACTTAAAATGTGATTGTTTATGAAGCCTTAAAGTTGTCCAAACACCTGAAGGGAGCGGGGTTTTCTCACAAATGGAAGAAAACTTGTGACAGAATTAGTTACAGAATCCTGCATACTTTTATGTTTGAACAGAAATAAAATCCAATTAAAACACACTCATGAGCCCCCCCCCCCCCCCCCCCCAACATCAGGTGATTAGTTATGAAAGGGTTTGTTATGTAACATGAAGGTTCCAGCTCACCATGCTCTCTGTCCTCTACAACAAAGGAGTTCATTCAGTCAACTCACAATAAACTCTGCTCCAGCTCTGAGGGTCACTTTCCCACCAAACGCTGAGATTAGGCTCAGGAGTGTGGCTAGCTTAAGCTTTGAGATTGAATGAAACCACGATTCACTGACTTTCTACTGACTTTACTGTCTAATCGCTGGTTCAATAGCGAAAGTTTTCTAGAAGGTGGAAAAGATTTTTAAATATCACACACACACAGAGATTTCCTCATAATTTATAAAATATTATAATTTGTTGTGTCTTTTCCCTCCAGCACTCAGACCCACAGACCCACCACCAACACCAACCCGTCTAAATTTGCCCAGAAGTTTGGAGGTTCAGACAAATGTGCTCGATGTGGCGATTCAGTCTACGCAGCTGAGAAGATCATGGGGGCAGGCAAGGTGAAACTCCTAACTAAAGATATTTACTCTCACTTTAAGTATCGGTTCTAAAAAGAATGTTTTACAACCAAAACTAACACTTTAAAAACTTTTTTTTTCTAAAAGTCTAAGAGACCTTTAAGACCACCTGATGAGTCTACATCAATGTCTTAGATTAGGTGTGATGATGTGTATAGTCCAGGAGACAAAAACTACTAAAAGCTTAGTGTTGAAGATGAAGCCAATAGAGAGAAACTCTGGGTGTTTGTGGTCAAGTTCCCAGGTTTGCAGCATTTTGTAAAAACTGTAGACAAAGACAAGAGGACTGATCCAGACTCTTGTACGGAGAGTTACAACAATGCAAACATGCTCTGATATAGTCTCAAATATTTTAAAGAGGCAGAGCCCTTCAAGTTAACTGAATGAGGTGTCATTATACAACTGAACTGATCTGCTCATCAAATTAGAAGAAGCTGATCAAAGTTAGACAAAATGTTTTTGTTACATTTTTTAGCAGGGCACAAAATAAATGGCAGTCAAGATTTAAGGAAGCTAACCAGCTCTTCTACAGATTCATTACTCTTGCTTATCTGACTTTAGCTAAGATGAAGGGCATTTAAATGATTCCATATTTAGGTTTCATGTAAGTAGTCTAATAGAGGTTTCAAAAAGTTCTTAGCTTTGTGGGTAAGTAAATCTGAATATCATCTGCAAAGAAGAGACTCTGAGGCAGCACGTTTAAAGTGACTGTGTGTATTTTCCATGTCAATAGGGGGCAGAAAATACCTAAATCATTGCAAGCAAGCAGTATTTTTGTGTTCAAGTAAGACCTTACCAACAGAAGGCCATTATGGTCAAAAATCCCTAGCTGCGTGATTTTCAAATGAGTACTTGGTCAGATCGTTCAGCCTTCAGCAAAATGACAAGCACATCAGACTCCCTTTCATCACTGGCAACGAGCGAAGAGGTAAATGTGTAAAAGAACAATGTTTAGAAATGGCAAAAGATTTGTTACTGCTTGTTACAAATCAGTAAATGCCTTCTGTTTCTCACGGACTCACATAGAGGAAAATGTGTCTAATATGGAATTGCCCAGAGACTTAAACTCACGTCCATGTATCTTAGACCCGATTTTTATGGTCATCTGTTTTGAAGCCGTCAAAATTTTTCAACAACTGGACATTGTGTAATTCATTTTCAACAACATTTCGATGGAAATTTCCAGAGATTACACATTGTCTCTTTAATGAGAACAAGACAGAGCCAAGAATGGCACTGTGGGGAACTCCACATGTAGTGTTGCTGCTACTGCAGAGTATTGATTCATATGGGCAAATAGAGAAATGCCTGTATGTTAGATTTGTGTCAGAACTGCGGTCCAGGGGTCATTAAAAACCCTTAAGAATGATATTTTCAGGATTGTTTTGGTGTTTTTAAAAAGACTAAAACTTTTCATTGGTAGATTTTTTCCTCCCGAAATGTTTGTAGTTGATGGGAACAATTGTCTCCAGAATCTTAGACAGAAAGGCTGATGAGAGTTTTCACAAAAAAGAGAAGGGTCTAGCTTCATCTAGGCTAGAATACGGACTGTAGCACATTAAAACAGAACAGATACACATTTCTGGAGGTACCATTACCGTTTTATTACCAACACTCAGCACCCACAGGGATCCATCATCATTCCCATAATGAGTGAGTTTCCCAGGATCACAGAAACCAAATGGGTGGATCTCACAAGTTGACTGACTGCGCATGTCAGACCACATGCAGGAGCTTTGGTGTGGTCTCTGCTAATGAGAGAACACAAATCCGTTTTATTTCTAGCTGTTCCATAAAGCTTGGATGGGAGCGTCCTTGGAGCTGTTGTTATGCACACGAGGCTCTGCTGGCAGGAAGATCTACAGCAAGTGAGATCACAAGGTTTACGGGATTCATCAGGATGGATCAGAGCAGTCTCTGCTGAGAAGAAGAGTGAATTCTTTAATAAATGTGAAACACCCAGATGTGAGTTGGTTTATAGCAGATGGTGTTAAAATAGGTGTTGTTGTTTTTTGCTGGTTAGAGGAAAGGCTTTGTTACCAGGGAACTAATTTTCTGTGTAACAAAGATGTTCAGGATCATTTCAGATGTCAGTAGGAATAATCTATGAAATTAGATTAAAGCAACAGTAATCACATTAAGTAGCTTTTAAAAACAATCTCACAACTGTTTAATTGTGTCATGTACAAGAGTGAAGCAGAGGACAGACACAGCCATCACTGTAGATGATAGAAGTTAAATTCATTGTGCTTTTTCTCATACAGCCATGGCATAAGAACTGTTTCCGCTGTGCGAAGTGTGGGAAGAGTCTGGAGTCAACCACGCAGACTGAGAAAGACGGAGAAATCTACTGCAAAGGTGAGCTGAAATTTAGTTTTTGGATGCAATTTTGATTTCTCAAATTTCACATCATTGCCAGTGAATTCTACATTTCCAAAAACTTGTATTCAATAAGCAGTAAGCGAATACAACCGCTGCAGCGATCCAATGTTTTTGTTTCTTTTGTTTCTTTGAAGAACCTCAGTTTGGAGAAATTGGTTAGTTCTGTTTGGCTTGAGATACGATTGATCACTGACTTTAAAATGCAGACTGAAAGCAAAAATAGTCTTCCACCCCCATTTCTTGTGTTAACTGCCGAAAGCAAACAGACGAGGAAAAAAAAACCGCACAGATCTACATCACACTGTTAATTTGCAATGATCTCATCTTGGCTTGCAACTGTGTTAATTTAGCATCCAGGAGAGAGAGGAACACGTTTCAGCAGCTAACCGTTAGCATTAGCAACTCCACAACATGGCGGAAAAGGTTCAGGCTTTTGTTACTTGTTATTCATAAAACATCAGTGTTTAATTTTTTTTACACAAGAAAAAAGGGCAGATGGTGGCAGTGGAAGGGTAGCGTTCCTGTTAGCCAATCAGAGACAAGATGTTCACATTTCATGAATATTTAAAGTGAGACAGATCCTGTCATCCTGTCACTTCTCCAAGTAACTCCCACTTCCTGAAACAGGAGCACCACAGCTTCTTCTCCACAGAAAAGGAGTCACAAAGCATTATTTCATGGTGAATAAATAACCGGTGAATGAGAATTTCAAACCAGAGCTGTTCAATGGATCAGTCAGCAGATTGTTTTGAAGATTTACCATAGAAGCTTTAATGTACCCTTTAAACTTGGCTTTTCTTTGCATGTTGAAGATTATCTTTTTTCACGAGCACGTGTTCAGCTAGTCACTTCTAAAGCATGTGGCGTTGAGTGATCATATCTAAATTCACCTGGAAGAACAGGATCCCACACAACCCTATGTTGCCTGTTTGTTTAGCTGGATGACATCAGCCCTGTCCAGCTGTTTAGAAGCATCTGTAGCCAGACCACAGTGAGTCAGAGCGGCTTAGTTGAACAGAAGACATCACTCAGACGTCAGCAGATGTTTGCTCAGTGACTCGATGAAACCTTGTGCCCATGAGCAAGAATGCTGCACCTTGGTGCTAAAAACTACGCTCTGCTGGTCTCACTGTGCCTCTGTCCTCTCTAACAGAGACATCTTGTCTTTTTCTGGGCAACATCTGGACACTGTTACTGAATCAACATTATTTGAGGAAAAATATAACACATGGTAACACCTTACATTAAGCGCCCTTTGTTAGCGTTACTTGGTGCATTATGAAGCATTAATAAACAAAGGATCCCTTTATTAATGTTCCCAGTATTTACTAAGTGTCCTTAAGGTTAGGACAAAGGCGCACAAGGGGGGAGAGGCATCTGCTTAGTAATGCATTACATGATATGGTTAAGCAGTTAATAGTTTATTAATGCCTAATAATGCACAAAATAATGTTAATAAAGGGACCCTCATTGTAAAGTGTTGCTTGCTACCAGTTTTATCCGTTGTGCAATGAAGAAACACACAGAATGAATACACAAGATAAAATTCAGTCAAAGAAACGGTGTCCCATCCAGGACATCTCCGTGTCTCCATACCAAAGGGCCTGAGACTTCAGATGAAAAAAAATCATCGGAACGTTTAACCGGATTTTGTTGTGCAACAAAAGTGAAAAAGGTTGAAGACATTATATGTTATTTACCATTTACATTATGTTTTGTCAATTCTTAATGACTCGACATCTCGCGTCATTTGGTGTGGATGTGTGGAGGAAACGTTAACGCTGGAATGGTGCACGTTTTATTAACTCCGAGCTTTTGATGATAACCAAGTAGGTTCATGGTAGATAGGATTGAGGTCATGCAGCAACCGTTAATCTTCATCACACTTTCAGCAGCGCATCAACTAAAACTGCCTTTTCAGTGAAGACGTGCAATGGCTCCTAATCCTCGGATTCGTGTTTACATTCATCATCTCTTCTTTCTCCTGCAGCTTGTTACGCCAAGAACTTTGGACCCAAAGGGTTTGGTTACGGCCAAGGAGCCGGCGCTCTGGTTCATGCGCAGTAGGCTCCCATCAGCACTTCTCCACCCAACAGGAACCTTTCAGACCTTTTTTCTGTTTTCTCCTTAAAGTTCTGCTGTTATGAATAAAAACATGGAGCACAATATTCACATTTGACTATTTTATTATTAAAGCCATTAAAACTGAACCATGCCCGTATGTTTACATCTGAAGCGGAGTTACAGTGGTGTCTGAAGGTGGGCAGAGAGGCACTGGAGATGATTATGTGCTTTATTATTACTTTTTTTACTATTATTCCAGGTGGTGAGATGAGAGCAAGGACAGAATAAAGACCTTTCAGACTGCTGGAAGAGCTAGTGTGGAAACGTAATCCCGGACGAGCCTGAAGTGATGAACTCTACCCCGGAAAGCAAAAACACCAGCCAGCCATGAACGATGCTCACTCAGAAGGTGCTATTAGAAGCTCCAGATATGAAATGAAGCCGAGTCACGAGTGGGACAGCGTTCAGTTAGATGGGAGCTTTGAAATGCAGAATGATGACAGAACCGTCTCCTTCTGATGATGCAAACACGAGGCTCAAACATTTTCAGAGGCCTTTGTATAATATAACCTCCTTCTATCCTTAAAACTATTGCATGAACACATTTCTGCTTTTAGAAAAAGGAAAAAAAACAATCTGCCTTAGATTTGTTTTGGATCTTTGCTTTACAATTTGTACATCCAGTGGTATAACAAACCCAGCTATGCAGAACATAAAAAAGGTCCATAGGCATGAAACATTCAGCTATATTACACACTTGCACAGGAAATGAGAATCTGGCAGCCTGGAGGACAACTTCCACTAAACACGCTGGATTTGAAAAACCTAAAAAACAATAACAAACAAACCAAAAACAGATGGACATGAATGATGCAGAAATGTACTTGCAAATACTTAACATTCACTATATACAGACACGTGGCTTGCCAGGCCGTCACCGTGGTGACCATGACGGGGATGGCGAGCGGTCCCGAGCATCGTACATGCAGAGGAGAGTTCAGGGGTTAAAATGCGTATAAACAGCAGTGTGGGACATCACTAAAAGCTACAGTCATACATGATTAGAGTCTTTCTCCTTTCTGTGTGGTTGAAGGGAACCCCCACCCACCCCAACTCAAATGGAAAAGAAGAACAGTCCAGGAGCACCTTCGACTAACACAGACGAAAAGGAGAAAATCGAGTGTTTATGTACAAATGCACATTCTTTCCATCTCAGTCCTGCTGCGTCGACCGGTCCATGCAGGGAACTCTGGGGGTGGGTGTGTCTCACAAGCCCCTCCCCTTTCCTCTGCAAACAATGGAAATGTTGGTGTGAGGCGCAGCTGCTGTCCAGTAATGGCCATAAAACAAAAACAAACCAAAAAAATCAGTGCAATGTTGCAGGTAGACAAAAGAGGCAAGACACATTTTACAGCTTCAAGAGGGAAACGTTGAGCGAAGCTTCCACGTAAACTCGTCTTCTTTCTCTTCCTGTTAATAAATACGCTCCCTGTTCCGGCCCCACGGAGCTTTACTCCTACTTCATCATCCTCCTCATAAAATCCTGTCCCGCTAAAATGATGTCAAACGTACAAATGATTGCGCTAGAACATTTATCTACAAATAGATTTTAAATAAATATACTTGTGTCACATTGTCTGTAGGATGCTGTGTTGAGTGGCGACTGCTGAAGGACTCCCAGTTATTCCTGCGTCCACGTTGCACAACAGCTGCTTTTAGATTATTTGCACGAAAAAGAAGTAAAAAAAATAAAATAATAACAGTAGAGGCAGCTTTCATTCAGCAGCAGGGTGGAGAAGTTGGGTTCCTCCACCAGTCCCACCTCTCATCTAACACTTTCCTGATGAGTTCAGCTCAAAACTCAGCACGGTGCAAAAAAACAAAAAAACTAAACCTTTAAAAGACATTCCCTCATTTCTGTCGCAGGAAGCTGTGGAGCTAAAAGCCTTTCTTTAGTGTTCCTGACTCCTCATCAGACAGCTCAACGGTTTCGAAACCATCCAGGGCCACATAGACGTCGTATAAATAAGATATGAATGGGGTGGGGGGTGTTACGTCTCCTTGGTGATGCGCTTCAGTATCGTCGGTACTTTCATTACATCGTTCCTCCCATCCGTTGGACTCTCCCCACTCCGCTTGTGTTTGGCAGCAGCAGTCCGTCCAGCGGGAGAGGAGAGGCGGTGGAAGCTCGATGCAGGGTAATGACAGTAGCAGTAATAGTAGGAGGTGTATGGGGGTGATGGTGTTGCCCTGTTAGCTGCATGCTTCCTGACCCAAAGGGTTCTGATCGGTGAGGGAGAGGTGGTCCAAAATCATAAAAAAAACTACATTAAAAAGCGCTCCCAAGAACAGCATCGCTCCGATATGAACGCCAGAGGGGGAGACCTTCCAGACACTCCACTCCCCCCACCGCTCTCTCGTTATCCCCCTCTACACCAGCTGGTAGCCTGAGCCGGATGTCTGGTCGTATTCTATTGTGTACTGCGTGGTCCAGTCCACTGCCACGGGCCGGATGAGGCCGCAGCAACGGATCTCGAAGAAATCGATTAGGTTTCTGACACAGCCATGGCTACACAGGAACAGAGAGAGAGAGAGTTAAAGCTCCTGACTCGGACAAATCTCTAACATTACTACCACAGCAGGTTGGAGCGTACTTGAAGGGACTCTCGATGGACGTGGCCGTCACTTTAAAGTGCTTGTACCTCCGAGCATTCATCCTCTCATTAGTGGTGATTCCCAGAGCAGCGATCTACAAAACACACGAGTAAAAAGGTCAGCCTGCTGATCACAGAAATCTCAACGAGCAAATGGAGCGCAGCCGTACCTGGTAGAGCTGACACATGATGAGCACCGCCACCCACATGAAGTGGAAGACACTATTGATGAACATCCAGAAGATCCAGGGTGAGCAGGAGGCGATCTGGGTCAGGTAGAGCCAAAATCCATCCTTCGTGTAGCTGGTGGCACAGTGGATCCTCCAGTCTGGGAGAGAGAGGCAGAGATACAACCAGATGGGAACTAAAACCGGAACAAACCAGGGACATGAGGGAATGAAACACAACAGGAAGAAGGTTGTTCTTACAGGAGATGCAGCCGTACATCATCCAGCAGATCATGCAGAGCAGAAAGAACAGATAGCCCATGAAGTAGCGATGATTCCCACTTCCTGTGGAGGACAAACAACCTTCCTGTTGACATGTTCTGATATTCAGAGCTTTTCCTGGTCACTTTACCCCCAGGAACAATGAGAAGAACCAGACTTGTGTCAGAAACTCAGACATAATGAGCAGATAAGCGTTTATATATTAACCCGCTGCTCTGGGTGTGTAGCAGACACACTCAGAGGGTTGGTTTGTATTTGTTCCCTAAACATGGAGCAGAGGATGATGTGAGACTAGGGTTGTCACGGTAACCGGTGTAGCGGTAAACCCCGGTAAAAAAAAGTTGACAATAATAATAACCGTCTTGTTTTTAAAAAAACGATATTATCTCGGTGGGTTTACCGTGGCTGCGGTGTAGGCGCGATGACCCTTACCAGCCACCGTATCATCTGCTGAAGTTGCCGGCGGCACATGCGCGCTTTGCTGTTTACAACCAAAACTTTCTTGAAGCTAAAGCTGAAATAATGACCAAAGGAGGAGACGGCAGTGCTCAGGAGGACATTTTTTATCCCTCAAAGAAGACAAAGTGGGAAGTACGGGCATTTTATGGATATTTGAAAAATGCCGAGGGACAGTTGATAGAAGACGGCTATCCTGTTTGCAGCACGTGCAGAAAACGTGTCTGTGAAAGGCAGCAACGCTTCAAATCTCATGACACATCTGCGTGATCATCACCCACAACTCTACAGTCAACGCAAGGCAAGCTAACGTTAGCGTTTTAGCTAAAATGTGTGATCCGAGGATTTGGGTTGAGGGAGAATGCAACGAGTCGCTATATAAAGCAGCCGCAGCGCCGCTACCTGCATATAAACCGTGTCTCGGACACCCCCATATTGAAATGACGCTATGCATTACGGGGCTCCCAGGGGCAGATAAGAGTTGGTCTCTCTCCGAGAATAATTATGAATTTAACAATGATTACTGCCTGATGACATTTTCCCAAATCTGCAAAGCTCACTGGAAGGACACAAACCGAGGACAATATTTTCCTGATATAGGGTTTATGACTCAAGTAAGGGTAAAAAAAGTATCTGATTAGAAGGCTACTTGAGTACTGAGTATCATCTGATCTAATATTTTTAAATGATGACATCAAATAGACAATAAATATGAAGTTATGGGCAAATATTGGTATTTTAAAGACTAAAGGAGAAAAATGTAAACAAATAAACAGCATAATAACTGAATAACACATTTTAGGCAAAATTTAGACACAAACTGAGGACAGTATTTTCATGACATACATAGTTGTCTGAAAATGTAACACGCTTAAAAAAAATACCGCAATAATACCGAAAACCGTGATAATGTTGGTCACAATAACCGTGAGGTTAAATTTTCACACCGTGACAACCCTAAGTGAGACACGATAAAAGAAAAAACCCTGAATGCTGATCTAAACGTGATGGCTCCTGACCGGGATGAACAACCGCTGTTTGTTCAGATGGCTTCCTCTCTTTGAACGCTTCATCCTGACCACAAGATTTCAAAAATAAAACTTAGCCTCCTGCTCTCCTTCCTTCCTTTCTTTCTTCTCTCCAGGCTGTTTCGGACAACAATCCTCATGTTTGCTTCCATCCTCCTGTTGTCCATCATGTCCTTCACCTCCTTCTCTGCAGGACGTTTTAATCGACGAGGACCTGACACAACAAAGAGGATCCCTGCCGTCCTGTTTGGACAGAATCCAATCTTTGTATGAAACCAGTTTGCTTCTTTAATGTCATTAAACGCTCCTGTTGGGTTTTGAGGTGATACTAACTGCAGGTTTGCGCCGGCTGAGTGCATCAAAGTTCATGAACTGTTTCTGTTACTTGATTCAATCCAGAAATGGGATCAAAAATCCCCAAAATGAACCCAAAATTAAGATTTACGCGTTTCTAAAATCTATCCAGTTTTTCTGTTTCTTATGAAGTAAATTAAAAACAGACTTCAGCAACACGTTCTCTCTGTAAGTGGGGGTCAGATCTGACAAACACAACAACAAGCCTGAAAGTGTGTGTTTGTGTGTGAGACGCACCCACGCAGTTCCCCACCCAAGGACAGTGGTGGTCAAACTTGGCGATGCAGCGGTTGCACACGGCGCAGTGTTTGGACCGAATGGGCTTCCGTATCTGCGGGAAAAGTCGAGAGTCGCGGCTTAGGTTTTTTCTTTTTTATTAAACAGTACGGTTAAAAAAATCTGGTTTGAGAAAAACAACAACTAGTAAACGTTTACCAAGCAGGTGCTGCAGAATATGCTCAAGTCCAGACTGCCCGTCTCAGCCAGCTCCACAATAGTCTACAGGAAGAAAAACAACACTTCACTTATTTTTTATTTGTTGTTAATAAAAAAGAAGAAAAGCAATGAATAAATAAATAAATAAAAACCTTTGACTTTGGCTGAAACTAGTTTCTCAGTCTGAAAGAACACAATGCAGCCTGGGATCAAAGGCTACAAGGAAGTCATGCTTCCCTCAACAACTGATGCTTTTCAGGCTTCTCTGCATAAATAAATTGTTTACATTCAAACTGCTTTCTGAATTTTCTTCAATGTCAACAAAATACTGCATGAACTCTGCTCATGGTTTACTCGGCTGAAAGACAAAAAGTCCCCAGACTACTCCAGATCTACTGCAGCTGAGCTGGGGACCGTTCCCGTGCATTCTGGGATCTGTAGTTGGTGGGTGGCACCCTCAGTGCAACACATAAAACACAATCTCATGTGTGGTCCACACTGAGTGAAGGTCTTGGCACCAAGGTGCTTACAAGCTGCAGAGTTACGTTAGCTTTCATCAACAGCGAGGGGGCGGGGCTCCCCTCCTCCTTCAGGGTGAAGGAGGTCGGACGCAGCCGAGCAGCGACTTGTGCAAAAATCAAGAACGTCAACATTCATATTACTTAAAACATACCAAAGACAAAGACTGTTACCTTTTTCTTTTGTTCCTCTGATGCTTTAATGATTCCCGGGTCAGACTTCCAGGATTTGCCAAAGTTGTAGAACAAAGCCAGAGTGTTGATCAGGAAAGGAAGGTGGACGGTAGAAAACGACAGATGTTCAGGGAAGTCAAGGAAGACGCTCATGAAAAGCCTTTATCTAAAACCACTGTAAAGGGATAATGAAGTCCCATCAGTCATTCCACACTGGTGACCCATCCCCATGGGGGGGGGGGGGGGGGGGGGGGGGGGGGGGGGCGATCACCCATTCTCAGGGCCAGAGGGAAATAAATCGGAAAAGCATTTCTTAACCATGCAGCCGTCATTCTCATCAGGCAGTATTCTGTTAGCTTAGAAAAGACGCAGAAGATTTGGGGAACTACTGCCACCTACAGACTAAGCATACATGCTATGAATGTGCTTCATACACATGGTGGCATTTACCCAAGTTCTCTCTTTATGTGGGCGGGGGGGAGCTTGGCTTTACCACAACCCAGCTACGCGTGTGCATGGCCTACGTGTTTAAATTTCATCAGTATCACAGAAGCCTTCGATATTTTCATCACACATGCAGACCTGAATGAAATGTAATGAAATCTAAAGACTGCAGTGTGTGTGTGTGTGTGTGTGTGTGTGTGTGTGTGGGGGGGGGGGGGCTACATGTGCAGCCCGGTTTCACAGAGCTCAGTCTACGCTGCAGGTCAGAGGTCACAGGTTCTCCAACAGGATAACCAGACTTTTGTTAAGTTATTTCAGTGACCATCTTTAATAGAAGGGTATAAACTTTCATCTGAATTTAACAGATTCAACTAAATCAATAATCAATACTCTTTAATGATAGATCTGGATCAAAACAGCAAGCAATACAAATAAACTTTTATGTTTCCTGTGGACAGGAACCAATAAATGAGTGTGTGTGTGTGTGTGTGTGTCACTGGTGCAGCAGACCGCCCACTGCCGTGATGTAAAATGCTCCTGACATGCTAGACACGGCTGCACTGCCATCTCGGCTCCCTTCACATTAGTAAGGTAACGAGGCGTTAAGCTAAATGGCTTCCACACAACAAGACCTGCGCTGTCACCTCCTGCAATCAGGAGCTTCTGAACCATGGGTGCAGTCATGCGGAGTCAGAACAACAACTCTGGAGCTGCTCTGCTTAGTTTCGCTCAGCGATAATTAAACGCTAAACTCGAAAGGACCCCTCCCTTCCCAAGGCATCGTCTACCTTCCCGGCACCACCTTGAGACACGGACTTCATTTCTAATCTGGGCTTTTTCAGGCACACATAAGCGACACTGTAGATCTCACCAGTAGTGAGGGTGAGGCTGTGCAGAACCCTCGCAGACACCAATCATCACAAAGGCTGAACACGACAAAAACAAATCAAACCAAACTCGGATGTGAAAGGCAGATGTCTGGCAGACCTGCTGCTCAGACGCTCAGGGTAGCGGAAAAGGATATCATTCCAGAACCAGTAAAACCAGGTGGTATACATCCAAAACTTGGTGGCCAAGTAGATTCCAAGAGGCAGGGCGCTGTGCATGGAGTGGTCAAAAAAAGCCCTGCAGATAGAAAAGGGTTGTGGTTAGAAATCATGTTAGAGAAAAGCTTTAAATAATCCCAGTTTTAAAAGCTTTCTTCTGCTTCTGGAGTTTTATTAAAGTGTTCTGGACGCAGGAGGAAAATCCTGACCCCTGGAGCACATCTAGACAAGTGCAGCAGGAGTCGGGCAGCTGCAGCACAAGCTGAACCCTTACCTGATGACCAACTGCTGCAGCGCTCCCACTCGGGCCCGTTTCCTCACCAGACAAGAATTCAGAGAATGTCAGTAAATCTGAACAGAACACACGAGTGTTGCTGCGGTCTCCGATTTGATCCCAGCCCACCAGCTGGACCACATGGTGGGGGATGGGAGGAAGTTAAAGAAACCAGTAGAACCCCTCTGGGTGATGGGAAATACTCAATATACACACGGTATATACATAAAAAGGTAAAAGAGAAGTATGTTAGCAGTTTGGGATTCTTTTGATGTCATTTTAGTCAAATCTTGAAAAGAGGGTTATTTAAGGGCCTGATATAGGAATGACTCTCAGCTGTCACAACATCCAAACACGGCTGTGGCCGCCATCTTTAACTGGAGTCAGTCAGTTTCAGATGCCCTAGTAGAACTAAAACCTTTTACCAAGTGATTCGACCCCGATCCATTTACTTGACGCTTCTTTCAGCCACGCCGCTGCTTACAGATTAGTGATCACCTGTTTCATCACCTGCCTTTCTGCGGTTTCTCACATTAAAATGATTCCCACAGCTGTCCACGAGTGTGTGAAAAGTGTGTGTTGTTCAGCTGAGTCGTACTTGGACAGACACTGCACGGTGACCCAGACACCGGTGTACATGACGCCCTTGATAAGCCACGAGTCGATGTCCAGGTCGGCGATGAAACCTATGAGCCAGATGACCAGGAAAGGCGTCCCCAGCATCACCTTCTGCCTGAACTCCTGCAGAAACAGGACGAGGAGAGGTGAGCGACAACCTCACGTGAGACGTTGACAGTAGCGTACAGAGCAGGCAGCGGTGATGAAAGAGGAGAGGAGGGGACACAGAAGGCACAGCGAGAGCTGGAGGTTCAGTAGAGCAGCATCCAGGGCTTTGAATCGTTTGCCAAAATCTAACTTAAGCACCTCAAGCACTCATAAGAACCCTGAATATCACTTTTTATGTGTATCAGATTGTCCTCGATTGCCCTCTGACATCTTGTCAACCATGTTTCTTCCATCTTTATTTCTGCAAGAGTGCTGCTGCTCCTGTTTAGTATACCCAACTCAATAATGACACCTCTTATTATAAGATGCACTCTGAACCCGTTATTAGTTGCACAGTCATAAAGTGGAGCATGAAAACAAGTCTGATGCATGACAGCGTGCTTACTGCAGCACATCTGGCCTGATGTGATGCCCCAGAGCTCAGTGGGATGGAAGCAGAAAGCTAAAATCTACCTGCAACATCTGGAAACATCAAACAGAGGCACGTTTCTAAGCAGAGGGTGGGATTATTGTTAGATATCAGCCATTATTTACCTTTATTACCTGACAACATCCCGCAGGTAAATGAAAAAAATGACAAAACATTTCAGGAGAATTCAAAGTCAGCTCTTACAGATACGGAAAAAGAAGAAGGTGGATGGAGACAAACATTCTGTATCATAAAAGGGTGAGAAGAAGCTCCCACCGCCGTGAGAACAAGCAGATCTTGGCTGCTTTGTTGTTTTTCCTGTTGTAGAACAAAGCGGATCATTATGACCACCCTCCATCCTGTCAGACTGACTGGAAGCAGCAGCCTGACGAGACTAAAACTGACTAATAACTACATCTAGACTGCATAACAGCTGTAACTCAAGACCCATGGGACCTCCGCCTGTATGTTTGTTGAAGGAAAGCAGCCATGTTTGTGTTGGTACCTTGTCCATCTTCAGTCTCTTCAGATAGGACGGGCTGTCGTAACCTTTGGCCTGCCGCGCTTCCTGTAAGTGATTGATCATCCAGACATTCTTGCGTTGCTTGGCGAGGTCCAGCGGCGTTTCGCCCTGATGAGTCACAGACACAGGCCGCTCAAATGTGATCTGTTACATTTAGATTATTCAACAAGATCGCTCATCTGGTTGGCAAACACACAAGGTTTGCTGCTCTAGTTCAGCTGAAAACAGCTTCTCCAACACAAACAGACCCGTTTATTATGGTCTGTGATGACTTTATCCTTATGGCTGCATCGTGGTATGAATGAATAACTTCAGACATGTAAACTATGATACCCAACAGGTGTCTTATGGATAATTGATGCTTGGGAATAAAACTGTATGGACACCAAACCCGTGTGTGTGTACTTGTCTTTATAGATTTAAGTGGACAATTTTTATTGTTAACCTGTACCGTGTGGACATTTTGCTGGTCCACATAATGTCAAGCACCCTAAAACTTGGGTCTTATGGGTCATTCCCATCTGTACCGGGTCGGCCCGGGCCGGGTAGCGTAGATTGTTTACATATCTGGGTGGCCTGGTATTTTTCCGGGCCAACCAAGGCTCATTCTCAGCCCTCTTCTCGAGGGGGTCTGCTTCAGGCCGACCAGGGCCAACACACCCACTGCTGACAGCAAATTCACACCTTCCATTAGAGCAAGCCTCTGACTGGTGGGTAGAATCAGCCCACATGGCCTTAAGGCAAGGATGTGTGGAATCAACCGGGCCAGGCTGGGGCCGACTGGGGCTACCCGGCCCGGTACAGATGGGAAAGGCCCTTTAGAGGTACGGTGTGCATTAGCTTTTAGTTTGGGTTAGGAAAAGAACCCCAATGGTTAAGGTTAGGGTATGGGTTAGACATAGGGGAGTCACTAAAATGAATGGAAGTCAATGGAGGTCCACACAAACATATAAATACAAGTATGTGTGTGTGTATGTGTGACATTTCTTTTGGAACGCCATTCTTACACAGCGTGTTTTAACTTCTTTACCTCCACTGACTTTAAAACTCTCACTCCAAACCCGCCTGAGTTTATATTTCAAAAGGGAAACCTTCTTGCAAAGCAGAAAATTGCAAACTTTTTATTATCAACAGATTTTTTGTTCACTTCAATGTTTTTGTTATTGCCCGTGTAGCCTCTGGAAATGGTCTGTTTTTCCATCTACAGGTTATGTTTCGCATAACATCACATTCACACATCATCACACTCCATCCACTTAAATTCATTCATCACATAAAGTGTCTCCTAGTTGTCTTGTTTATAATTGTTTAGAAAATAAATGTCTTATTTTCTATAAACTTGACTGTCTGAATTGATACGAAGTGTCTGACAATCCCTGAATAAACAAAGAATTCTAAATCTTCTGGTTAAACATTCAAAGATCAATCAGATTGAATTTCAATATTTATATAGAAATTCACATCTTATTGGTCAAATGTAGTGTAGTATATTGAGCTTTAAAAGCACCTAAAATACATACGTATGCTAACGTCTACACCTGGAGCCCAAATCAGAACTCAAATCCAAAATAAATTCTCTGCACAACCCTAGTCATCATCATCATCCTCTCATCTCCTAAAATTAGCTTATTTTTTTATCTACGGCAGTTCCACACCTGTTTGAAGCATTTCTTTTCAATAATCAGAGTAGAATGTTCAGAGCAAGTTGGCGCCGTTACCTTGATGTTCTGTGCGTCGACGTTGGCGTTGGCATCCAGCAGCAGGCTGATAACGGTGGTGTTCCCGGCCAGCACGGCCCAGTGCAGCGCTGTGTTCTTGTGATATTTGTCACCCAGGTTGACGGATACGTTGAACGTCAGCAGCAGTCGAGTCGGATCCACACTGCCAAATAAAAATCCATCCCATGTAATTAACAGAACAGCTGCAACACATCTTTGTTCATCAGTTTTCTTCAACTGTTTATTCTGCTGTTCCTAACGAGTTAACGTTCATCACTCCTCTTGTTATTCCTGCAGACAGAAGAGTTAACATCTTTGTTTTAAACTCTATTTATGAATTTATTTGAGAACTGGAGAGGCAGCTCCCACATATAAGTGTTTGTTCAATTGAAGAAAATATAAGTTCTTGAATGTTGAGAACTTTATTTTACTTAAAGGGAAACTGAAAAAAACATTTTTCATGTATTACTTCTGATTTTAATCAGTCACCGAGTTTTTCATGTAGGCTGAACATGAAAATAGACTCCTACATCTATCTCCTGCATTAGCTTCTGATAGAAAATAGATGGTGAAACTCTAGGATCTGAAAAGCCTGACAGATCTACGTCACACTGTCACTTAACATTCGTGGACTCACCCATCTTGACTCGCAACGGGAAAGGCTGTTGTTGTTTTAAACATCCAGGAAACAGCTGAGAATGTCTAGCCGAAGCTAACTGTTAGTATTAGCAACTCCACAACATGGCATAATTCCTCCAGGCTTGTGTTATTTGTGGAAATAAAACATCAGCGTTGCAGAGCAAAAGGAGTCAGTGGTAGAGTCACGTTGCTGTTAGCCAATCAGAGGTGAGATGTCCAAATATCAGGAAATAAGACTCCAGATCCTGTTGTCTGAAGCTACTTTATCCTCCAGCTGACTTGTAAGGATGCTTGATAAAAACAGAGAAGGAGAAACAGCCGGCTGCTACCACCTCAACTTTAGGACAAACTACTAGAGTCCCAAAAAAAAAAAACATTTGAAGACACGGACATCAGACGATTGGATGTAGGAAAGGCGACTGGTGTTTAGCTCTCTCTCTCTCTCTCTCTCTCTCTCTCTCTCTCTCTCTCGTTTCCTCTGGCAACACAGGTTTCCGGTACTGGCGGATGGCTGACAGGAGGAGTGAGTGTTTCATGACCGTGTTTGTGTTAAAAAGTTTGCTGGTTTTGGAATTTTTTTCTACTGTAGTTTTAATTTCAGAAAAAAAACCCATTTACACAAAATATTCTATCGATACCGGTCAACTTAAGAGACGGCACCACTTACTAGTTCTTTAAAAGCTAGCTTCAAACATGGCAGGTTAATAGTCAGCAACGCAGTCATTAATTATTTCAAATTTCATTAAAGGGACTTTACGGAGTTTTGAATTGTTTTGCTCGCGATTGCCCCCTCAGGCCAAAAGCGCAACTGCAGCTTAGCTCTGTGAAGCTGACACCCCCCCCCCCCCCCCCCCAGCTTCAAAAGTGGAGGCAAATAGGCTGCTCAGTTAGTGCTTCGTTTGTGCTAATTTGTGCAGGTGAAATTGACGTTTGTGCTGCTATGGTTTTTGAGACATTAAACTTTATTTAATAGGTCATTCAGAGGTCACCGTTCCCCCCGGACTACTCCAAACTGCTCTAAAATGGACAATGGATAGCTTTATTAAATATTAATATATAAAAAAAAATCTTAGTTCTTTTATGTTACCTGTGTGTTCTGTAAGCTGCCCACATAAGAGGAGTCATGCCGTTCTGATCCATCATGTCAACATCCTGCAGAGGAGAAAGCACACATTAACTACTGAGGTCAAATAAGGTAGCGGGGCGCCCTCTAGAGGACTGGTGATTAAAATGAATACACCCTGTAAAAGTGGTTGGAGAGAGGCAGATCCAAGGGTTTGAAAAGGTGAATTTTCCCACCTGTCCTTTAGCAATGAGGTAAGCCACGATGGAGGTGTGGCCAAACTGAGCAGCCAGATGCACACAGCTGCAGCCCTCTCCGTCGATCAAAGATGGGTCTGCACCATATTTCATAAGCTGCACCACCATGGATAGATGGCCTTGTCTTAAGAGGGGAAAAGAGACGAGAAACACCAAGCATCAGGGGCAAATACCTGCACACGCTTGGCGTTATACCCTAAACCCGTCTACAGCAACAACGATTCATCACAAAACCAATAAAATAGTCATTGGTGTCATCCAACGGCCTAAATGAGCTGAACTGGGTAGCGAAAGCAGGCGGGGGCTTCTAAAGGTCACTGGAAGCTGCTGGAAGGAGGTGGGACTCCAGAGAGTTTCTGTACCTGTGTGTTGTTGGATTCATCCATTAATAATTCAAAAGGATAGAAAGAGATCCCCCCCCCCCCCCCCCCCCCCCCACTGAATGCTCTGATGAAGTCTAGAGTCACATGTCATAACAAAGAAAAGATGGTTCAGCTTCTTTATGAAGGTTTGTTCAAATGAGCCGATTCAGACACAGAAAACCCAGCTGGACCTGTCCCTGGAAATAAAATTACCTAAAGAGGAAAACAAATAACTACACATCCTTATCTGTGTGACAACAATAAAGAGGATTCATGACCTTAAAACTGAACTGATTCCTCAAATGTACAAAATGATGAGATAAAAACATTTTGGGATGGACAGACTTCTCTACAATTTGTTTGGTCAAACAGCTACCCGGTAATTGCTCACAGTCCAGAAGCACAGGCCGAAGGTGTACTATGAAGTTAGTCGGCCATGTTGAGTCAAAAGGTGAAGTTAGGGTTAGTTCTCAGTTTTGAGGCTGGCTACATCATTGGTTACAGACTCAGGGTTGCGAATGACCACAGTCACCAATTCTTGTCGTGTCTTGCCCATGTATGTCTGATCTCTGAATTGTGTGTACTGAAACTCTAATTTCCCTCTGGGATTAATAAAGTATCTTTGAATTGAATTTGAAGTGAATTGAATTTAGAGTTCAGATTTGTTCATTTACTCAGTCCGTATAGATTTCACAGGTAGAAACAAAAATCTGACTCAGTGTTTAAATAGTTCTGTCAGCTCCACGAACATCCAAGATTAATGTCTGATTCTGTAGTAAATTAACAACTTCTGTTATTTTAGTGTTTTTTTCTTTAACCTGTTGAACTGGTTCAGTTTGAGCCACAAAAACATCAACTGGTGAGTGGAAAGGAATTTTATGTGCTGAGAATGGAAGTGTGAGTAACCAAACCAGCATCTGAGTGCCTGTAATGGTTTAGTGGAGTTTAACCGTAAGCTTTTACCACAGGAGGTAAACCTAGCTATGTTAAACCCACAGGTCTGCTGTGCTCATTTACACACGCAACGCGCTGTAAATAAAGGCTGAGTGTGCACGTGTGCTACCTTGTGGCCCAGTGCAAAGGTGTAGAGTTGAGGTCTCCTCCTAGCTGGTCAACAATGGCTCCCTTTGATATGTAATACCTGGACACACCAACAGTCTGGAAGTTATCCTGCCTGTTTATCTGTTAAAGCTAAAAACCACAGACTTTTACCCAATGGCACCATAGAGGTAGACAAAATGTAACGCTGCTACCGTATTTTCTGGACTATAAGTAACACTTTTTTCATAGTCTGGCTGGTCCTGCGACTTACATACCAAAGTGACTTATATACCAAATTATGTATACCGCGCTGCTGCGGGCCAGCTCCGGTCCAGTTTTCAGCTCCTCTGCCCCGCCATCACCTGCTGCAGCCTGAGGCGAGCTGCTGCAGGCCGGCTCCGGCCCAGGAATGAGCTCTCCCCGCCCGCTGAGAGGGTTTGAAACACCGCCATCCTCTGCTGGAGACCGTGGCGCGCTGCTGCGCCCTGGTTGTTTATTCTGTTACTGTTACCGGTACTTGTCTTGCAATGTGAAATGCTTGGTCTCAGATTTTGTAAGAAAAAATTATAAAATTTCCCCCCAAAATGCGACTTATAGATGTTTTTTTCTTCATTATACATTTTATGGCTGGTGCGACTTATACTCCGGAAAATACGATATATATATATATATATATATATATATATACATATACATATATATATATATATACATATATATATATATACATATACATATATATATATATATATATATATATATACTGTATATATATATATATACATATATATATATATAAATACAATTATTTATATATATATATATATATATATATATATATACTGTATATATATATATATATATATATATACTGTATATACATATAAATATATATATATATATATATAAATACAATTATATATATATATATATAAATACAATTTCAAATCTATGTTTTAACTCTACGGGTCTGATGCTAGTTCTGATAAGGTGAGGATTATGTGAAAGTGTGGATCTGATTCAAAGCCGTTTTCTAGGTTAGGAAGAGTTGAATCCTCAGATTTTTGTCATTTGAGGATTCTTGCATTGTAAATAGCTCT